AAATTAGAAATTGATTTGAGATTTTCTTTTTTGTTAAAAAAAATAATAATAACAACAACTTGTTATCTGTGCTGCATATTATATGAACGTTATATTGAAAACAATATAAAATTACTTTTGAAGTGAATAGTGTTATGTTTGTCAGTTGGTATGATGCTTGAAGCTAAGCTAACGAGTTCAGCTTAGTTGATAAACGCGAGAACCAGACAATGAACCAGTGTTCAGGTAGGCTAACTTGAATCCTAAACTGTAAAACAGAAGACTTGGTGTAGAGTAGAAAGTATATTGTACAAACCCCTAGCAATCACAATACAGTCAAACACACAACTCTCCTCTATTTATACATCATAGAAACGTGCTTGGGACAGTTACGAAAATAGCACACAGTAGCCAATCACGGTCAATGATTTTCCTGGTGGGAAATGAAATCTCAAGGTCAACTGATCAGCCCATACTCGCAAACGTGTAATCCAAGATATGGCATTCATCAAGCAAGTTCTTGGGATCTAACATCCCCAACAATAGACAATTCGAAGAAACCACAATCGGTCTTTTTCAATTAGAATTATGGAGATTAGTGTATTTTTTTACACATGGAAATCATCAATCAATCATTGTCAGACTACTAATTAGAAACATGGGAGAAGCACTGAAAGACTGCTGTTTCGTCTTTGATATGGGACTACTGATCAGTGAGTATCCACAACTCATGCGCCTCGCAAGATTCGAACCCGGGACCTTCGGTTTTGTACGCGGACACTGAAGCTAAATTTACCAATACACGTTTTTAGTTTCGAGTAATATTTATAATCATTTGGTAACGTTATTATGGATTCATAAATGTGTGCGTATGTGTGTCTTCTTATATATTCTACATGTAAATTTTTTCTTGATCATGTTAACTATCCAACTCTGTCGTAGGAATTTTAACTTAGTTTCGTTAAACGCTTAATTAGTTATCAGAACAGCTACATGAAAAAAAAGACAAACTGCAGAAATTATACTTTTGAAATTTATTCTTCTTCTTATCAAATTGATTACGTAATCAACTGATTACAAATTAAGTATACAAATTTCTGAATATGAAGAATAATGCTTGCAATAAGTTCGTTTCAAGTTCTACAATTATTGATTGAAATGAATAATCTTAAAAAAGTGGTTAGGTTTTTTAGCAAACTACAACGTTTAAAATTATCGCATATAAATTCATGATCGTTAATGTTTGGATGTGAATTAGAAATCGGTAATCATGTTAACTAGAGTTATTTTGACCATTAATCTCACAATTTCATTTTACAGAAAAAACGTGTTTCAACTGAACATTTCATATTTGTTATATCGGTCAACCATTAATGATTTACTTACTTACATACGCCTGTTACACACTATGGACCATAGGCTGCTGATCAGAATTCTCCAATCTACCCTGTCCTGGGCTTCCTTTTCCAGTTCTGTCCAATTTTTGTTCATTTTTCTCATGTCTGTCTCCATTTCTCGGCGTAGTGTGTTTTTTGGCCTTCCTCCTTTCCTGTGACCTTGAGGATTCCAAGTGAAAGTTTGTCTTGTGACACAATGCGTATCCTATCCACTTTCAGAGCTTCATCCTGATTTCTTCCTCAACTGGAATCTGATTTGTTCTCTCCCACACTACGTTGTTGTTGATGGTGTCAGACTAACAAATCCGAAGTATTTTTCTTTGAAAAGTGTTAGTAAATACTTGTATCTTCTGGATGTTGGTTTTTAGAAGTTTTCCGCCTGGAGCCCCTCTCTGGTGTTACTGCCGATCCCAAGCCCGGATAAAGGAGGAGGATCGATTAAAAATGTGGTCGATGACCCCATTCAGTAGAAAACTAATTTGCTAAAAAAGCACTAACCGCAAAAATAATAGTTCAAAACATTATAGATTTACATCACAAACAATTCTAAACTCTCATTTAAACACTACAAAGAGAAACACGAAGTTCAACGAAGGGAGCTCTTTTCAACGAATTCATTATCAACCTGTACATACACGTATTTATACATATAAGTTATCAATATCTTCAACGTATTATTATTATTATTTAGAAAAGAGATTCCTTTCATTATTAAACTTTGTGTTTATTAATTTTAAACTTACATGCTATAATTTTTTTTAACGATATATTTTATTTTGAAACCTTGAACAGTTTTTTTTCGATCATTCATTTGAACATAATAATATTTGTTAAAATTTGCAAAGAATTTATTAAAAAAAATATTCTTTGTTCAAACAATTGTGTTTTAATAAGATGGGAATGTTGTCGCGATTGAAATGAAGAATAGAAACATGTGTAATCGTAGTTAGTTAGTTATTCGATAGTTGACGAGATAAATAGAACTGATCTATGTAGTATATATGATAATGTGTAATTAGTTACTCATTAGTCAAACAATAAAGTTAAAACAAATTCAAATGACCTGACAACTCTTTTTTCCTATCTAATTTCTCTCTTTTTCTATATGAGAAATACGCTCACCCCCTGCCCCAAGAAAAAATAAGAGAGAAACAGTTTTGAATCGTGTTATAAACAAGTCGGGTGTAGGCAGTAACTACCGAAGACAAATGGGTGAGGTGGCGCAAAATCCGTAGATCAATTAGAGTTAGCCATTAACACCGTTAGATGCCGGCCAGTACAGTGGTCCGATGGTCAGGCAGTCGCACACACTACCGAAGGTCTCGGGTTCGAATCCTGCGAGGTGCAGGAGTCGTGGATGTGCACTGCCACTGATGAGTCCTATACCAGGACGAAACTGCTATCCAGTGCTTCTTCCAGGTTTCTAATGGTGGTCTAACAATGGATGAGTGATGATTTCAAATGTTTAAAAACATAAACCTCCAAAACTCTGCCCGAAAATAAAATTAAAACAAATTCAAATGACTTGACAGTTTTTTTTCGATCTAATTTCTCTCTTTCTATATGGGAAATATGCTCAACCCCCACCCCCCACCCAAAAGAAAGATAAGAGAAAAACGATTTTTATTCGTGTTGTAAACGTCAAGTCACTAACTGAATGACCTTGTTTTGATTGGTACGATTATTCAGAGATTGTAATATTCAGTTAGAAAACAATGCTTGATTTTTAAACAAAAATGCTTACAGTGTAGGAAGAGATTTTGAAATTTTCATAGTTTTTTTTTTCAAAAGTGAACTGATCTCCGTTAAACACTCATCATGAACTTGATAGAAATGGACAGCCATTTCCTTCTAGCATGGGGGACTTTATAGCTGTAGGAACCAACGACTTCGTGAACACAAGAATCAAACCAAAGATTTTCAATCTTATGTGTAAACGCTTGTTTACCAAACCACTGTGCCGACATATGATGGTGTTAGTGTCAGATAACAACTCAACGGCTTGATGGTCGAGCATTGGCGCGTAAGATCGAAAATCTTTGGTTGTTTTCCTGTGTGTCCGAAGTTGTTGGTTCCTTCCTCTTGGAACTCCTGTACTAGGACGAAATGATGGTTCAATGCCTCCCGGTCTTCAGTAGCATTCTTGTTAGGTACGTCACTAGGTATGCTTGAAACTATTACGGGTTCCCCTTAGTCGATAAACAAGAACGAGACAATGAACCAGTGTCCAGGTAGGCTACCCTGATTCAATGACTAACCAAAAGTCTTGATACGGCGTAGAAAGTATATTCCACAAACACCCAGCAAGTACAATGTAATCAAGCACGCAAAGCTCGTTTATTTATACATCATAGAAACATCCTTGGGACAGTCACAAAAATAGCACACTAAAATGACACAGTAACCAATCAAGACCAAGGATTCTTCTGGTGGGAAATAGGACCTCAAGATCAACTGAACAGCCCATGCTCGCAAACGTGAAATTCAATTTAACCAGTGAATATAAATTTTCTATATTGAAATGAAAATTAAAGAATGAGCGAACTCTGTTGGGGATGTCAGATCCCTAGAAAGCGTTTGTTAAATATTTTTATTTTTGGTTTATTTCATGGACCGATCACAGTTCACCTTGAGATCACATATCCCACCAGGAAGATCCTTGGCTGTGATTGGTTACTGTGTCATTTTAGTATGCTATTTTGTGACCGTCCCAAGGACATCTCCATAAAGTATAAATAAACGCGATTTGAGTACTTGGATTCATTGTGTGCTGGTTGGATATTTGTAGAATACAATTTCTACGCTGTATCAAGAATTCTTGCTGGTACAATTTGGTCAAGGGATTACAGTAGCCTATCTGGATGCTGGTTTATTGATCTGTTCTCGTTATTCAACTACGGTGAACTCGTAATAGTTTAAGCATACCTAGAGACGAGCGTAACGAACTCATTATGATGACTTAAACTACTTGTAAACTTCATCAACGTCATTATAGTTGATATCCCCTCAGTAATGGAAGCTAAAGTTTATATATATATATATATATATATATTTATATATATATGCATGAAACCCACGCAGCTCTTTTAACATGATGTTTTCAGTCAAGGTACGTACGTACTACTACTCTTATTTTATACCTGTCTCTTAATATAAATAATTTACACTAGTATAAACTACGCAGTAGAAAGCAGACGTTGATTTTAAGAACAATAGTCGATATTTCTCATCGGGGCATAAAATCCTGATTAATAAAAACCGGAAAGAAGTAGAACATGTTGCGTTCTAGTATAGGACTTTTCGGCAGTGTGCACCGACCAACCTAATACAGATCGGATCTAGGATAGTCGGCTAAGTTGACTGAAGTTAGAGATATACACTAATGGAGGATGTCAGTTCAATGGTCTAGATGTTATATGTTTTCTTGACAAACCAAATATCCTAGACTTGGTACTCACAATAATCTTGGTTACTGATTGCTGATAAGTCTCATTCTTGGTAGGAAAATGCTGTCTAAAGACATTAAGATGTGCACCACCATTAAAACTCAACATTTTCATCAACTCACTATAATCATAAGATTATTTAAATTTACTTAATGAAAGAAGAAAGACGCATTACTACTTCATTGCATAAAACATAATTTAATTTCAGAAAAATATTTTTTTTTAGAAAAAACAAACAAACAGACAAACAATTTTTAAAAGAATAACAAAACAATTTTCTTGTCAAGAATAGGTATATGAGAGTACATATCGGTGTGTATGTGTTTGTGTGTGCAAATGTGTGTGAGAATTCATGTGTAGTCTAGACAACAAACATTAATTATCAGTGTACATGAAACAATCATCTATCTGTTATGAACTGACATTGACAAAACATGACACAACAAAATACAACACAATCTAAGTGAAAAGAAAAAACAAAATTATTCAAATATTATTTTCAAAATACATGATGAATTAAAACAACGATATTGTGACATCACATCATATAAGTGTGGAGGTAGAAAAAAAAAATGCAAATTGCTTTCTTTTTTGTAGATTGATTGTATCAAATGTAAGCGTATAATGTACTCATACAATTTATGTATATATGTATATGTATGTATAAATGCATCGTCAATGTAAATATTGAATTTTGTACACAAATTGATCATTGATTTCAGCCGTTGCCTTGATCATTGAATAATGACCTTGATTTTGTGAATGAATTTTGGGGTTTTTTTTCTATCTCAATGTACAACATATAAAGAAGAGAATATTTACTCTATACATTCAATGTCGATATGATTTATTACTTGAATGTATGTTTTATAATATAATATGTAATATGAAATCAATTGAAAACGTATATTTTATTTATTCTCTTGACACAGTGTTCAATTTTTTCTATTTTGTACAATGAATAATATTGAAATGTTGAACATATTGTTCAGTTATTGATTTGATTCATCATTTTTACGATTGACTGGTGGAGATGCTGAATAACCTTTAATCGATCTGTTGTGAAAGAAAATAAAAGTTGAAATTTGGTGATTGTTACTCATTGAAACATGAACATATGTGGTGTGTGGTATTTTATGTTGTCAGATCAAAGTTTAACATTTTAAATAATTTGTGTATGTGACTGTATACAGCGAATATAGAAAATCGATAAGTATAAATTGTTAAATTAGGAATGTAATGTATTTTTTTTAAATAACAGTTTTCTATTTTAATAAACTACAGAACTCAAAAACTATCTTCATATCTATCATATGCGGATAACGTATAAAGTAAATAGTAACTTATGAACCTAGTCTACGGATTATTGTTGTATATAGATGTTACGCATGAACGTAAACACGTCAATTTGATATGCTTGAGCTATTACGGGTTTACCTTGGTCGGAAAACGAGAGCGAGAATTGAGGATCCGGCGACACGACATGCTACTCTAATCCGATTGTCCCAAATCCAGCACTGAGTAAAAGAAGAAAACTTGATATGAAGTAGAACGTTTATTCTACAAGCATCCAGAAAGCATGAGATCCAAGTCCAGTAGAGAATCAGGATCTCGGACTAGGGATCTGGATTCGCGTTCGGTCTATAAAACGTTACAGATAATGCATATTTATACATTTAGGTTGAGAAGGAAACAGCATCGAAGTTTGTGACAGTGATAGTTAAGACGACCAATATGCAACAACATTGGAGTACGTGACATTGATATCTAGTACGACCATAAAATTGACCAATAATTCTCTTAGGATATTGAATGAATATCCTAACAATAGTCTAATTATACAACTATTTAGTAGGTAGATTATTATCTATATACATTTCCTGTATCCTAAGCTCTTGAACAAATCATTAATTATAGTTGTATGATTTATTCTCAATCTATTTCTAGTTAATTGTTATCAGTCTTTCCTAATTACAGCTACCTTTGGCTAACTGATGTTTAGTTGTTCGTTTTTATATATATTGGTGTGATATAATCTGGTTATGTATGTTTGAAATATTAGAATGAGAAAAATTTTGAACTGTGATGGTAATTAGTCTTTGTTCTGCCTCTTTTATTGAGGCAAGTAAGTATTGGAACGTCGTTTCAGTATAGAATAGTTAAGTTTTCCATCCTTGTTGTATGTTGGTTACTAAAAGGTCATTTGCAGTATTGGTTAGCCTAAAGGTATAACAAAAACTACTTGGTAACATTCCCGAACTTCGGTAATTCCTGTTAATTAATGAATTACTTAAAACAGTAGTCACTCTATGAAACCGCATTTTTCAGCAGTCTATAGCTAGCTACTAGCTATAATCATGTTGACGACTTTGATTTACTTTCATGTTAGTATTCGTCTTTTGTTTCAATGGGATTTCATCAACGCATTTGATAAAAATCCATCAGGAGTTTTGCAGATTTTTTTCAAATTTCAAACTTTAAACACGACAAAAGACTAGAAAAGTCACTTCCTTCAAAACAGGAAACGGAAATTGACAGTAAACAGGATTATAATCGGATGAATATTTGTTAAAACTGGTTTGTATCAAGGGAATATGACTGACTTATATTATCCCTGCTCCTTGTCAATCAATTTTCAAAATTGCTTAAATCCTCTGTACTTCAGTCTGCATGTGATGTAAAAGTCTAGAGAATAACATGCAGTAATATAGACCATGTTTATCTACAAACTCATTTAGAAGAACTAGTGAGATAGTCCCAAAGTTGGAGTTTGAAGATTATTTTCAGTAGGATTGCCTTAATACATATTGATAGATGCGAGTGTACTGTCAGTGGAATAATACATTCATGAGTATATAGACAAAATGATCTAGGATTAATTGATGGACAGGAAGTATTAACAACTTCACAATCCAATGAAGCATTCAAAAAAGGAGTACTAGATTCACTTCGTAAAGCAATCAGACGATTTGCTATAGATATGCTCTAGATTATATGCCCCATCTGTGTAAGATACCACCGGAAATATCAGATCCTATCACCTAATTTTAAGAAGCCTAGCATTTTTAAGCATACTTGTGTAAGAGGAATTAAGTTAGTAACAAGCCATTCCAAACTCTCCTACGACGCGCGATTAAAATGTTGAAACATTTTCCTCTTGTCTGATTGTAGAAGCCGTAGTAACCTCAGTGTAGCACTTCATGCTTTTAACATTCGATTGGGTGTTAAGATTTTTGATTTTTTTTGTTGAATCTACGGCTAATAATAATATAATAAGACCAAAATGGTTCAGTTTTTCTCTCTTATCGAATAATCAACTATCCGGACATTTTGCATAAACACACTCGGTATCAACTCTATGAAGATAGACACTTTTGTTGAGAAGGCGGATCTTCATGGGAAAATATACAGTGAGGATTACTACAAGTCTAACGACGTATTATTATTATTATTAGTAGTAGTAATAGTAATAGTAATAGTAGTAGTAATGTAGTGAACGAGAAAACAGGTGGGGTAACCGGATTGTATTTAACGAAAATTACAGAGTTACTCAGTAAAATAGGAAAACCATATCGTTAATCGTTCATTTGCAAAATATCAGTTCATCATATCGAAATGGACTGTTCCTGTTGCAAAACATCAATCCATTGTCACTATTCATGCGTTTCATACAAATTCCATTGCGTTCTAACTCTTCCTTTCTTGATCTTCCCCCATCTTCTGTTGCCAGACATTATGTTGACACTGACGTCATATACTACTTATAAGTAGCTCGCACCACAGTAGTAGTAGTAGTAGTTGCGAAAACTGAGCATACTGTTTTTATTGATTTATTTAGATGTTATAAATTTAGACAGATTGAAGTGAACCTTAATCCATTGCCTGTCATATATTTACCGTTAACTTATAAATATGATAATTAGTTTTACAAGTGATAAAACCTTTTTACTGATGATGACTGTCAAGATATTTTGATATTCCACTTGAAAATAAATGAAAAACAAAAGGGACATACAATGTTTGCTTGCATTCAACCATAACTAAAACAACAACTTCTTGACACGACAAATTTTTATGTCATGGTTTTTAGCAGTTAAATGAATTACTTTCACCAAAATGCAAAAATCAATACATTGACTTAATGGTGTGTGTGAATGTAAGCATCAAAATAACATCAGTTAAATCATACTTAGCCATTTGTTTTTTTCATACAATCCTGTGTGATCTGAATGCATTTGTGATGTGTAAGTTATATTGTACTAGATTCTTTCTGGTTATTATTAGTCTTAAATCTATCAATGTGAACATTAAAAAATTATCGGTGAACTAGTCAATGACATTTTCTAATATTCAATGTCATAGGTGCTGCTAATGATAAAAAATACTGGTCAAAATCAATCATTGTAAATTATTTATATGTGGCGCCTTGTTGAAATGTCAAACTCACAATCATACTATCAGTATATTAAATTTGTGTTTTATTAACAGCCTCCAAGTTAAATAAATATCTAACATGTCTAAACGTTTAGTTGCAAATGCCAATCTTTTTTACTATTTAGCAGTATAAATGATTTCAACACTTAAGAGAAATACTTATATTTATATGTATGTACAAACAGGTTATTCATTTGCTTATAAACTAAAATTAGTAAGGGTTAACAAATTTCAATCCATAGTTTTGTAAAAATCTATGTTAATTGACAATTTTTTGTGCTAATTGACGTACCATTTAACAGCTGAATCATTGTGGTTATTATTATTATTATTTAATTTTTAGTTATTCAAAATATACTACTCTTGTTTCAGTTATTTAGTTTCATAGTTTCTAAATGAAGATCACTTGTTAATAGGTGTGTTTGGTGCCAAATGACTAGAGATTCATAGTGAGAATTTTATACAAGATTGACATTTTAATGATCTTGAGGAAAACATTCACTAGCTCACGTGATCAAATGAGATAATATTACATCATCGCTGGTTCAAAAGCAGTCAGTCGAAGTATGGCCGACCATGACACAAGGTGAATTATTTTTTTAACTTGTATGGAGTATCAGGTTCCTTAGGACTGTTCACATGCATTTCTGATGTGTTTATTCAAAGTTTCTGTTGATCAACTTTAATAAACCTGTCTACGCTAGTCACCTAGTCTATTTACTTCAATAATACTAGATTGACGAAATTCATCATCGTCAGATTTAGCGGTTTAACAATTTGTTGGACACGTTAGATCCCCAGAACTCGCTTGATAAATGCCTTAATTTTCATTTTATGTTTCCGAGCATGGGCCTTGAGATCGCATCTCCCACCAGGAGAATCCTTGGCTGTGATTGGTTGCTGTATATTTTAGTGTGCCATTTTTGTGACTCTACCAAGGACGTTTCTATGATGTATAAATAAACGCAATTTGTGTGCTTGGGTGTTTGTAGAATACACTTTCTACTCTGAATCAAGACTTTTTTGTCAGCTCCTCTGGGCAACGGATCAGAGTAGCCTACCGTGTCACTAGTTCATTGTCTCATTGTCATTTATCGACTAAGATGAACCCACAATAGTTTCAAGCATACCTAGTAGTGACAACGATCATAACACAACTAAACATTGGTATTCATTGCATAATTTGAACAAACATTATAATAAACACATTAACATACTAACTAACCTTTTATTAATCATTATATTATCTAATTTCACGGAATCTTCACTAATATTCATTTTTGCCAACATTCTATCTGGTAAATGATCATAAACATTCTGTGCTGTTATATCCAATGGTAAACTTGCACAAGGTGCATGTAATACTGGAGATAATGGTGGAGAGAATTGTGCTTGTCTTGTTGTCATATCATAAGGAAATTCATTGTGTTGTGTAATACGATCAAATAATATCAGGCTAGGCGGTGAAAATATCGGTGCAACAATTTGTTTCTCTGTTATTGTTGTAGTCATTTGTAGTAAATTTGTATTAGGTGAATTGATTGTACTCGATGAAGAACTAGTCATAGTAAATGAATCCGTTGAATATTTCACATCGGATATATTTAATGATGTAGTAAAATTTGGATCAAGACTATGCCTATTTCGATGAATATTATAATCCGGAGTTTTATTATGCAATAGTAAAATATCATTTGATTTGGCTTTTGTATCGTTAATGCTTGAAATGGATTTGTTGGATGAACGATCTGTATTATCCGATAAGGTATTGTCGGTTTCCAACTGTTCAGTATCGGATCTAGTTACAGTAATATTATTATTATTATTACTGACGCCTTCATCATTCGCTTCACTAGTAGATATTTGTGGTGGATTGATTGTTGTCACAATGTCATTCGACTTATCACATTCTTGTGAATTGTCCTTGTTTTCCTCGTCATCGTTATTATCATCAGCAGCAACATCAACAACGACATCCTCATTCTTACGATCATCTTGTTGCGTCCGTTGCTGCCGTTGCTGTTGCTGTTGTTCTACCTCGACGGTTTTAGATTTGGTCAACTTTTTGAATGATAATTTTGAAGCTTTCTGTTCAGTATTACTATTATTACTATTATTATTATTCGTTTCATTGGAAGAATCCGGTGATTTATTCCCTTTTTCAGTAGTATCTTTAATACTCAATGATAAACTACTATTTAAATAATCATCAGCTATAGATGTTTGACTGAATAGTTTATTTTTAGCATTAATTAATTTACTATGCTTATTAGTATGTTGATCAATGTCAATACCATAGAGTTTACGTTTTAATTTCTCTTGAAATGCTTGTTGACTATTGCGTAATTTTTCAATCCATCTTTGCTAATAGAAAAAAAATATTAAATCAATTTATATCAATTGAAAAAATAGAACGTTTTGAAATGATCAATGATGTGATTGTTGAGTGAATAACTAATGGTTAGATTCAAAAACAGCAAAACGTCTTATGGTTAGTTGGTTGGTTGGTTGATATCCGACTCAATAATTCAAACGCTTTTGACCTCAGTCCGTCAGTCAGATGCAACGTAGAACTTCGTACGTAAGTACATCAGTTCAGGTTGCTATACCACAACATTAGCACAGAGATGTAATTGTCGATTCAAATCCAATAGTAGTAGAGGTAGTAAAGGTATTAGCAGTAGTCGGAGAGGTTCGGATTAGAAGATATTATTCAAGAAGTATGAGATAAGTGAGAAAAGTTGAGAAAGACAAAACTAGAGGGGTTGAAGAATCCAGAAGATTAGGATTTGAGATAAAAAAAGGCATAAATGCTCCGGCGTCATTGCAAACAGTTTTGAGCCATGTCATTCAACCCTTTCACCCACCTTATTGACTTTGCTCTTGACAGTTTTACAACTTGAATCTATAGAGTTACATAATGTAATCTTATTCATAGGACAATTTGATTTGATTTCATCCTCTTGTGTTCTTCCATATGTTATTTCTCACAATTTCATTTAGACTACACAACTTGATTTATGTTTACATTGCATGCAAGTTATCGTTGTTGACAAATGTAAATTTATATCTTATTGACGTAGTAAAAAAGTGAATTTTTTTCGGCTAAAATCTGATGGTGTGATCAGTATTTTAGACTAATGAAAGTAGAGTTAGATGAGAATTTTATTTCATTACTAGAGTGTTTTCTTCGGTCAGAAATTTTCATTTTAACAAGAAGTTGGAAAACATGAGCCGTTGAATTTCATCAACCTAACTCATCGGTATCTTGGTGTTGGACTGTAACGCATGTTGTGATGATCCCTCGCAGATAGTAGCATAAAAAACTGTCCATTGTTGTACATTAAAGTCGTGATTCAGTTATTGTTAGACCACCACTACAAACCTTCAAGCCCTGGACGGCTGTTTCGTCCAAGTATGGGACTATTTAGGAGTGCGCATTCACGACCTCTACTCGTTGGAATCGCAATCCTTAGACTGATCAAAGTTAGATATTACCGCCGTTAGATGCCGGCTCAGTGGTCTGGAGGTTAAGAGTTCATGTACGGGACCAAAGGCCCTGGGTTCGATTCTAGAGAGAAGGGGTTATGAATACGCACTGATGAAGAGTCCCATACTACGACGAAACACCTGTCCAGTGCTTTCAAGTTTCCTCATGGTGATCTAACAATGATTGATTCACAACTTAAAAGTAAAACAACAGTCTCCACAACTCTGTAATGTCGATTGTTAGTTAGTTTTTGAAATGGTTTTCTAACCAGCCATTATAATAATAATAATAATAAGTATTATTATTATTATTATTACACTGAAGAACCTCATATTAAGACGAAACAGCTGTTTACCTCTTCATGGAGTTCAATGGTTTTTTAGTTAGCATAACGAACCGACTGAAGTTTAAGCTAACCACCTGAAGCCATTTAACGAAATTAAGTCGGATAATATTGATTAATTATGAAGAACAGACTGTTTGTTTCATCACACATGAAATAAAAGTAATGAGCAAACAGCGTAAACAGCGTTTACTTCCCATAATTATAGTCTGAAATAAGGACAAATCAAATAATTCTGGAATCTTGCAATTAGATTTATGGAGATTACTGTTTTTACACATGTGAAATCATAAATCAGTCATTGTTACTCCAACATTTCAAATGTGTAAAAATAAAACTCCCAATAAATCCGATTGCAAAATCGTAAAGTATGCTCACTATTGGCTGGCTTCGAGAGGGATTTCTCGCAGTTCTAGTGAGAAGACGTGACCAGTGGAGTTCAACCCTGTCGGGTGTATGTAGTAACTACCAAAGACAAATGGGTGAGGTCGCCCGAAATCCCTAGATTGATCAGTGTGAGACATTAACGCTGTTGGATGTCGGCCCAGTGGTTGAGAGGTCAGGCGTCCGCAAGCAAGACCGAAGGCCCTGGGTTCGAATCCTACGAGGTGCAGGAGTCGTGGATGCCCGCTGCCATTGATGAGTCCCATACCAGGACGAAACGGTCGTCTTTCGTGTAATTCTGGAATCGTCATCATAATCACTAAAATTTTACCGATAAAAAAGAATACTATTTCGCATTCCATATCATAAGAGCAATAATGCGAACCGATTCACATTATGCAGCAACTGTACGATAGCGTAAGATCATGCAAAGTAAACAAATAAAATCAGACACATCAACTACTCATCATCAAGTTAAAAACTAAGCTCTAGTTCGGTTCTTCAATCAGAAAACAAATCAGTCTAAAAAACTGCATTATGGAGAATAAATATGCTATGAAAATCACCGAAAGATATTCATATTTATCACTGAATAACCTGTTTTAAATTTATGATACTTACTTTATCTAGTTCATTTGCTGCTTGTAAAGTGTACACACCTGTTATCTGTTGAAATCGAGTGATCAGTACAAGTACAATAGCATTTCGTAATCCATTAGCTATATTATTAATACAAAATATAATAAGAAAAACAAACTGTAAGGTAATTGTATACAAGTAAGTGAAAGTTTAAAGAAAATGAGTTCAATTGTCAATGAATATCATACATTAGCATATATATCAATTGTCTACAATAGACAAAGGTTGAATATTATCACAAAAGAACAGTAACAAACACTTGTTGATCAGTTATACTCGCCTTTAGGTATGCTTAAAACTATTAAGGGTTCACCTTAGTCGAATAACGAGAACCAAACGATGAACCAGTGTTCAGGTAGGCTACTGTGATCCGATTGTCCCAACTGTAAAGCAAGAAGTCTCGATTTAGTGTAGAAAGTGTGGTCTACAAACGCCCAGTCAGCACACAATCAATCCAAGCACTCAAATTGCGTTTATTTATACCCTATTGAGACGTCCTTGAGAGAGTCACGAAATAACACACTAAAATGACACAGTAACCAATCACAGCCAAGGATTCCGCTGGTGGGAAATGTGATCTGAAGGTCAACTGATCAGTGCATGAAATAAATCCAAAATAAAGATATTGATCAAGTGAGTTCTGGGGATCTTACGTCCCCAACATGATCAAATTTGCGTTCACGAAAATTTCTTATCGAAAAGAGTAGTGAGTTATCGACACATTGGCGTAGGCATGTACAGTAAAATCTGGCTGACACAGAAACAAACATTTACATACTATTGTCCCTTTTAAGAGAAGATATCGAGTAATGCAAATGAAGGAAGTCAGAGAAAAGGAACCATATCGGTGACACAAAGCAATTCAGTTTCTAAAATTATTGATATAGCTGATTTTGTGACACATAGATGGAAAGTAGCATTGAAATCTTTCGTAGTTCTGCGTTATGTATCGGTTTTTCTTAGCTTGTGTGAGTCCCTTTACTTTCTGCAAATCTTTCGCAATACGCTAAACGTAACTACATCTCGTTACATCCATTTATTTGACTGTTAAGAATGATATTTTGCAAAAAGTGTTTACAATGCACATTCAGTTTATGCCTTGATTTATCAAAATTGTTGTCTAATATTTAGATCGGCAATTAAAACAAACATTGGATAATTTTCTTTAATGAGTGTAATTGTCCTATTTGGCATTTTTACAATTATTTTTTCGGTACTTAGCTGTTCATAATTCACTTCAATAGGCTTAAAACTTAATAAATATACATCTAGTGGTAAGTTCATTTATTGTCTTATTGTTAGAACCAACTTTTATTCATAGCCAAATGGATCTTCATACTAAACTACTTTCAAAATATCAGTAGAATATGTAGTGAGTAATTTGTATTATACAACTCATCAGTGGATTATTTTAGCAATCATAAAATTATCGAACTGAACATTAGGTCAATAGATTGGTCGAAAATAAATGTTTAACTGCAAAAAAATGTTAATATATAAAAATAGATCAGTGTTATAACTATGTTTAGCATAAGAGCTAACCCCTGGTATGGGGCTCATCAGCAGTGCCCTTCCACGACTCCTGCACCTCGCAGGATTCGAACCCATGGATGCGCACTGGTGATAAGTCCCATACCAAGACTTAACGACCGTCTTTCAGTGCTTCCAGATTTTTAATGATGGTCTAACAATGATTAATTGATGATTTCAAATGTATAAAAACACTAATCTCCATAACTCTAATTGAAAATTTAGAGGTTTGTAAAGACTATTGGATTTTATAATTAAAAATCATGAACTGCTCTTAGTTACATCACAGCCAAGAATCAGAGAAGCATTGAACTTCCCTATTTTCTTAGTGTGAGACTTCTTAGTAATGACTATTCACGACCCAGTTCGGTATCAAATTCACGATTCTTAGGTTTCAAAGCCATACAGGTACAAAACATCCATCCAGCAATTCCTGTTTTCCAATAGTTGACTAACTACAGATATAACCCTGTATGTTGTTTACATTGGAAGCGAAATGAAGCATGACTTTGTTAACTGTCAATGTGTTTTTTTCATCAGTCTTAATTATCAATGTAAGCGATAAACTGTTCTCTTCTTCCGGGAGCGGGAAATAGTTATTTTGCTCTACTTTATCTCATATAATAATAATAATAATAATTAATGTCTGTAAGTATATTGACAAATCATGTTAACATATCATTTTCACACACAAACAAAACTATTTATGGCGTAGTTAAAAAGCTTTCAGAGTGATTAAGAAAATATCGATCCAAAAAAAACAATGAGAAATGGATTAAATGGAACATTGGAACATTTACAAAAAGAAGCTGTACAAAGTGGATGTTGCTGTGATTTTGACGTGAGATGAAAGATAAAAAATTAATCAACCTTAAGACTTAAGTAGAAGATTATTATTATCATTATTATTATTGTGTGATTCTGTCCTACCTTCAGACTAACTGTCAATCGATTTTAGATATTCTGAAATGATTATGTAATCACATAGAATCAGAAAGAATTATGAGTACAAGTGTCTGAACAGAAGAAAACTGTTGCTGAATGAAGAATATGGATGTGTGTTTAAGAAATGCATACATCTATATTGATTCTAAATTATTTTGCATCTGAATACATCAGATAATATTATTTGTTATTCGACTATCGGGAATTCAATTACAATTTTCGTTCAGGTTTCTGAAGTCATGTGCCTTTAACTGTATACTGTTCAGCTGACGAAAACGTATGTGTAATAGATTGCATTTAAATTTATTTCTAGTTAGATAATGATAAACTTTATATGTAGATAGGTTGTATCCATATACTTCTTGACGTTTTAACCCAGTAGGAATCATAGGAACTACTCAAAGCATAATGACATGTTTATCGATACACACTGTTGAGTATAGGCAGTAATTACCAAAGACAAACGGGTGAAGTCGAACAAAATCCTTAGATTAATTAAAGTTAAACATTAACACCACTGAATGCCAGCCAGCTCAGCGGTCCAGAGGTTAGGCGTCCGCGCGCAAGACCGAAGGCCCTGGGTTCGAATCCTACGAGTAACAGGAGTCATGGATGCGCACTGCTGATGAGTCCCATACCAGAACGAAACGGCCGTTTAGTGCTTCCAGGTTTCTAATGGTGGTCTAACAATGATTGGTTGATAATTTCAATGTATAAATTTAATTACAGAATAAGATAATCATCGAAAGTGGTTATTTATTCTCTGGAATGTTTACTGATGGAGAGAACTACACTGGTTATAACTTGGATTATCTTATCATAGATATTTATGACATCATTTACGACTGCACTAATCAATATTATTTATTAAATCTACATCTTAAGTTTTTCTCAATCAGCATTGTGTATAGATTCAACATTCAAGAGTAATTAAATGATGGTTAGCATTGGAATTAGGCAGGTGCATTTCCTCCTGTATGAGATGAGTTAACTGGATGTACTTGTATGCCTGAGTTGATGTTTACTCCGGGATCAGAGTGGAATACCATTCACACTAAACGCAGTTGCATTTAAACTAAAACGACTTATCAATCGAATCTACAGTCTACGTAACTGTTACGCTCGTCACTTGATAAGCTGGAAACTATTACGAGTTCACCATAGTCGATAAACGAGAACGAGACAACGAACCAGTGACACGGTAGGCTACTCTGATCCGTCGCCCCAGAGGAGCTGACGAAAACGTCTTGATATGGCACAGAAAGTGTATTCAACAAACACCCAGCAAACACAGTGATCTCAAGCACACAAATCACGTTTACTTATACGTCCTTGGGAGAGTCACAAACGTAGCATACTAAAATAACACGTCAACCAATCACAGTCAAGGATTCTCCTGGTGGATAATGTGATCCCAAGGTCACCCGATCAGCCCATGAATCAAATCCAAGATTAGGGCCTTTATCAACTGAGTTCTGCGGATCTATAACATCCCCAACAATAATACTAATCTTTCAGGATCGTTTCTACATGATTGTATCTGTCCAGTGATGAACATCATTTAATAATGAGCTTTATTATTATGATTTTTAAAATCTGTTATTGTTATTATTATTATTATTAACTTACCAGTTGCTTCAACAATTCCTAAATCATGAATTGTAAAACGATCCAATGCAATCACTTGTCTATAAACAACAAATACTCCACCTTCTGTTATACTACGACCAGTTAAAGGATTCTCTGAAAATGATTTCTGAAAAAAAATAATACAAGCGATACATACAGATTTTTACAATTCCATCAAAGCTTTACATTATTTCCTTGTAGATATTTTTAGTGAATATGTTAAATTAATCAAGTGTCAATCCATTAAGTCAATCATCTCACAATGAAATAAATGACGTCACTGTACATCAGTCGGTAAAAGTACAAGTTGATGATAGGAAGACAGGTGACAGGTGTTAGTGGTAAGAATGATAAAAAAAACAGACAAGAACAAAAGTTTCTGTCAGTTGTTTAACAATGGAAGTAGTAGGTCAAACTTGGATTAATAGACTTTAAAAAAAAACAGTGATCACAGAGCTCTATTAGAATTAGGTAATAAGAACAGGATTTTCAAAAAAAATATCAAGACAGTTATACTGTATGGAGAGGAAACATGGAGAACTACCAAAGCCATCATCCAGAAGATACAAGTGTTTGTTAGCAGTTGTCTACGCAAATTACTGAGGATTCGTTGGCCAGACACCATCAGCAACAACCTAATGTGGGAGAGAACAAACCAGATTCCAGAGGAGGAGGATATCATGAAGAAGCGGTGGAAGTGGATAGGATACATACTACGAAAATCACCTAACTGCGTCACAAGACAAGCCCTCTTATAGGAACCCTCAAGGCAAAAGGAAAAGGGGAAGGCCAAGAATCACATTACACCGAGAAATAGAGAAAGATTGGACAGAAATGGAAAGGGAAGCCCGTGACAGAGTTGGTTGGCGAAAACTGGTGAGCGTCCTATGCTCCATCGGGTGTAACAGGCGTAAGTAAGTAAGTAATAAGAACAGTGTAAATAACCAAATAACACTAATAATAATAATAATAGTATGTAATAAGTCAAACCCGGACAAGGAAGAGACAGGGATGTCAGAATTTCTTTCGAACACATAAATAGGGACTGAATGTTCAAATTATTATGGCTTCTATTGGGGAATGATGCAAGGCGGCGTACAATAGATCCCTTCGTAATGATTCAGTTTTTTCTCGCTATTATGACCACTATCAATCAATCAGGTATGCCAAGACAAAGTTGCGTATTGTTTTTATTTGACCTTCTCCAAACTATGTTGAAAGATGTTCGTTCGTTGATTTAAATGTTCGGATAGTACATTGAGTTTGTCAACTTTTTCATTAAAATCCTTATCAATGATAGCTACAAAAAAATTCTTGAAATCACAGATGCCCTAACAACCTTACCGTCATACCTGCAATGCATCCTAAAATCATTCCAAATCAACATTTTATCAAGAGTGTGTCAATGATATGCTAGACTATTCAATTCTTAACAAAAAACCATTTGCCAATCAAGCCAATAAACAGTGATTTGATTGTTACACATTCGAAGTCATCAATCAATCATTGTTAGACCACCATTATAAACCTGGAAGCACTGAAAAACGGCCTTTTCGTCCTGGTATGGGACTGATCAGCAGAGCGCATCCACGACTCCTGCACCTCACAGGATTCGAACCCAGGACCTTCGGTATTGTGCGCGAACGACCAACCATTGGACTACTGGGCCGGCATTCAACGGTGTTAATGTCTAACTCTGATTGATCTAGGAATTTTGCACGACCTCACCTCCAAAACTCTCAATGAAAATATAGTAACATATGCTCACTAGTGACTAGCTTCGTGAGGAAATTCTCGAAGTTCTAGAGAGAAGATGTGACCGATGGAGTGCAACCCTATCGGATGTAGGCCTAAACTACCAAAGACAAATGGGTGAGATCGCACAAAATCCCTAAATCAATCAGAGATACAAATTAACACCGTTGAATGCCGGCTCAGTGGTCCAATGGTTAGACATTCGCGCACAATACTGAAGGTCCTGGGTTCGTATCCTACGAGGAGTTGTGGATAGGCACTGCTGATGAGTCCCATACCAGGACGAAACGGCCGTCTTTCAATGCTTCCAGGTTTCTAATGATGGTCTAAAAATGATTGATTGATGATTTCAAATGTGTAAAAACACAAAACTCCAAAACTCTGCCTGCCAAAAATAATAAAATAAGATAACAAAAGTTTCTATCAATAGTAATAGGTCAAATGTGGATAAATAGATCTTAAAAGAATAGTTGTATTATTTACCTTTTTGGGTGGTTTCTTAATTCGTGTCACCAGTAGGAAATCATCAAATAAAAAAGCAAATATTTCAATTGTTTTAGTTCCATCTGAAAATAAATTAAATAAACTAAGTGTTACTTTCTATTAATTTTAAATAAAATGATATCTTTGTTTTCAAAGTATGCATAAATTTTTGAATTAAAGAATTATGGAGATCCCTGTTTTACATTGAAATCATGAATAAAATCATTGTTATACCACCATTATAAACCCGAAAGCATTGGACGACCTTTTCGTTATGGTATAGGACTCTTCACCAAGGCGCATCCACGACTACTACAGGATTCGAACCCATGACTTTCAGTATTGATCACGAACGCTTATCCTATAGACCACTGAGCTGGCCGGTATTCAGTAGTTTCAATGTCTAACTATGATCAATCAAAGGATTTTGTGCAACCTGAACCATTGTCTTTGGTAGTCACTGTCTACACTCGACAGGGTTGAGCTCCAATAAGTCTCATACCAGGACGAAACGGTCATCCAGTGCTTCCAGGTTTCTAATGGTAGTCTAATGATGATTCATTCATGATTTCAATATCCATAAGCTGTTTTATTATTTAACCACGTATATTTGAAAAAAAATTGGATTCGTCGTACATGCTGTCAAACAATTAGTAATATAATATTTTCAGTGATTTACTTGGTAATCATTAAGAAAATTGAACAAGTCTATTATCAAAATAGTTTTACTAATACACGTATATATATTAGTGCAGTGATGAACCTTCTCCTGCAGCCATGGCATTCGTGATCACCCTATTAAATCACATACTGAATGTTTTCTCCAGATTCTATTCATCATGAAACGTTGTATGTTTATGCGTGTTAGTTGACAACATTCATTAAGGTGCTCGATTCCCAGTTGTGGAACCACATTCAAACAGTTAAAAAATATCATTTTAAACTAAACTTGATATTTCCAATATAAATTTACGTAAAACTGATTCTGTTTCATCTTGACTACTTTCATCTCTCGAACATCTGGACGTAGTGTGTGCGATGACGAGTCACTTTGATTAGTAATCACTAGAATTCAATCAACATTACATGAGAAGACAAACATAATATTATCGACTGATTGTACCTTTTAACTAAAGTATTTGAAACGGTACCATAAATCGATCGAAAGTCAATTACATGAATCTATTACAGTGATTTATAGCTATGTTATAATTGATTGTAGTAATCAATCAAATGTTTGTTAAAATTTATTTTCTTCTGATTTATGAGCTTATTTCTATGAAATTACAATTCATTTGGTGGAAAATATTCTGACTTGTATGATTGCCATCTATATTGTACACAGAGTTTCTGTTAATCTTTCTAACACAATGTAACTTGGAATATGTAAGTTGCATTACCGATGAGTTCCATACCAAGACGAAACGGCCGTCCAGTGCTTCCAGGTCTCTAATGGTGATCTAACACAACGACTGATTCACGACTTTAAATGTGTAACTTAACAATCCTCATAATCGCGTAATGCAATTACCTGTGCTCACTAGTGACTAGCTCCATGAAGAATCTTCTCCGAGTTCTAGTTCTAAGTCGTGACCAGTGAAGTTCAAACTGTTCGAGTGTCGACAGTAACTACCAAAGACAGTTTATGGGGTTGCACAACCCCGTGAATTGATCGAAGTGAAACATTATCACCGTTAGATACCGGCTCAGTGGTCCAGAGGTTAGGCGTTCGCGCGCAAGACCGAAGTTCCTGGGTTCGAATCCTGCGAGGTGCAGGAGTTGTGGATGCGCACTGCTCCTGATGAGTCCCATACCAGGACGAAACGGCCTTCCAGTGCTTCCAGGTTTCTAATGGTGATCTAACATTAATCGATTCATGGTTTCAAACACGCGAGTTGATCAATTATTAATACTTTCTACATTAAATTGCTCGATAATCAATAATTCAAAATGATCAATCTTATATAACTTTTTTTTAAACTTACCATTCAATGTTAAAAATCCTTCATGTAATAATTGTCGTTTAGGATTTGCAATCAGTCGTTCACATGGTTGGCGTATTAAACTTTGACGTAAAAATTCAGGGATGAATACTCTTGGTTCTAGTTCAGAAACTGATGGCCATATCAGCTGGGATTGAATTTCTTGAAGTCGTTCGAAATTTTTCAACCAACGCATTTTATCCTCCAATGATTCTGGTAACAATCACAATTGAATACAAAAGGTAACGTATATCATTATTTGTTTGAATGTATGTCATGTTTCAAAGAAATTTATTTATCAAGGGTTGGTTCTAATGAGCACAATGAATAAATAAATATGTGTGATGACGAATTCAGAAGATCAGAATTTGAGAGAACACAAGAAAGACCAAAGAAAACATTACGCCAAGAAATGAAGACAGACATGTGAAGAATGAACAAAAATTGAACAGAACCAGAAAGGAAGATCCAGAACTCAGGAAAATTAGAGTATACTGGTTGGCGGCTTATGCTCCATTGATGGAGGTAAGTAAGTATGTAAGTTTGGATCAAACTTATCAATTTTTTGAATGTATAAACACATTATTGAACAATCCATTCCCATAAAATACTAAAATACTGGTGTCGTAAGCCTGAAAATACATTGTTATCAATGTTGTTTCCTAAAATGAACTAAAATAGCTTACTACTTAAATTCTACTTAAATATTGTCATCTAGAGAAAACCCAAAGTACAATCTTAAGTAAAATCATACCAACTGAAATTAATTTAATTGGTTTATAGTTGAAAAAGAATGATTCGCTGCGTCCGTTTTTCATAAATGCAATGCATATTGTATATTGTAATTAAGAACAGTTATTAATAAATAAAGTATTTTGTTTAACTTAAATAACATCAGTCCATGAAAGCTTTCAATTATCATTTAAAGACGTATTAGGGTTTACTTCAAGCCTGAAAAAACAACATTTTGTTGCATTTCACAGTAAAATTCAAATGTGAATTGATCAAAAACTTTTTTTTGTGGAATAAGACGAATTCATTTGTTTTCCACAGTTTTATATTCTTTGTAAACAGCATGAAATAACAAGATCAGGTCGCATACATTTTACATCAGTTACTTTTATAAAGTGAATGAATGATTTAGACCATTTTAGCTCAATTTTTATTCCAAACATTAACCTCAACTTCATTGAATAAAGTATATCAAACCTCTCCATTTTCGTCAAAACATTTCCGACCAGAAGTTGTTTACAACTGATGATGAACTTGATATGCTTGCAGCTATTACAAGTTCACCTCACTTGGTAAATGGAACGAAGATCAATGATTCAGTGACACGATTCTCCCGGACCTCACTAATGAGAGGAAGAAGTCTTGTTAATACGTGGAGAAATGTATTTCACAGGCACTCAGAAGGCATGAGGTTCATAAGCACACAACTGAAGCTTATTTATACAATGACGAAACGTCCCTGGTGAGAGCCACAGAATAGCCACCTAAAATTATCCATCGACCAATGACAGCCAAGAATTTTCCGAGTGGGAAATGTAAGCTGAAGGTAAATTAAGTGTTTTTGTCGCGAAAACATATAACATCGAAATTTCAGAAATAAATTGCAAAATTAGGATCTTTTCCAAGTGAGTTCTGTGGTTCTAACTTCCCCAACAGAACCCTCCAAGAGAATGAATTCATTCTAATCTATATACGTCATTTTTCGCTTTCATGGCTGCGAAACATGGCCGTTAAGAATAGATGTTCGTAGGTTACTAGTATTCGATCACTGATGTCTCCGAAGCATTGCTCGTATATCCTGGGACAACCGAGTAAGCAATTTTGTCGTTAGGAAACGAATGCTAGGTAACGATGGCAGATCAACAGATGAAGTATTAAAACTTCAGCAGTTGAGGTGGTTGGGACATGTGTTACATATGCCTAACCACCGACTGCCTCGACGAGCTATGTTTTGTGGTGTAGGAGGAGTAGGTTGGAAGAAAGTTAGGGGCGGCCAAACTAGAACATAGCACAAAACCATGAAGTCATTGACAAGTGGACTGACTCATGTTGGTAGGTGTCAACTATCCGGATGGGGCCCGCGAGACGAAAGTCATCAATGGTTAGAGACCTTGAACGACATGGCCTCAGAATCGTTTGCAATGGTACAAGTGCATCCATTCTTTGAGCTCTCTCAAATCCTAATCTTTTGGATTCGTCAGCACCTCTAGTTTTGTCTTTCTAACCTTATCTCACTGAATTATACTTTTTGAATAATATCTTCAAACCCTAGTCTTCTTCATTACCATTAATACCTCTACTATCTTTATCACTATGGGATTTGATTTGACATTTGCGTATCTGTGCTAATGTGATATGGCAACATGAACTTATGTACATACATACGAAGTTCTACTTTGCGACTGACTGACTGACCATTATTGATCAAAGAAAACATATTTTTAGTGTTGTTTTTTTTGTAATTTTATAACAAACACTTACTTAAAGAATTTTCAACTTTATTTAAACAAGCTGTTAACATTTCTTGTTCTGCACTACTAGCTGTATAACGTCGTATACTACTTAATAATAATGGTATTTTCATATAATGTTGCATTGGTGCAACCAATAAATCTGTTAATTGTAAACGTCGACACCGAGTATCTTGTTCACACCACTAGCAGAAAAAGAAAACACAAAACAAAGTTAACAGTGAAAGAAAAAAAAATCAATAAACGTCTAACAGAAACAATATGAATTCAACTCAAATTAGTCTATTCAATGAGTGAGTGCATTTAACAAAGTTATAGCGGTTGTTTTAAGAAAAGCTTATTAGTAGAAAAACCATGATAACCATATCAAAATATACAAATAAGTATCAACAAATATGATCAATGTAACAAGAACTTCAAGTAAATCGATTCATTTAGATGTGAACTTGCTTCATGTTGATTAATTAATTGGGAATATTATCATGAGCTGAATGATATAATGACGCAACTTTATCTGTCTTTTACAACATTTAACAATGTAAGAAGGGGTAGGCTATTGAATACTTTGAAAAAAAAATGGTTAGCAATATTTTCTGTAGATATAGAGTGTGATGTAAACAGTTGTTCGTTTGCTCTGTTCTGTTTTTTCATTGATAGTCCAGTAATCTTTCAAGTAGATAAAATATGCTAATTGTTTTCCCTAGATTGAACACTACTAATTCATGAAACGTGAGGTAAGAAAATTAATCTGAATTAAGCATGGACAATGAGCGAAAGACTTGTGTCTCTCTGGTACAATAATAAGTCAAAACTAACAACTAACTAGGCGGGGTTTTTACAAAATACCAGTATCATATAGTAGAAACTCAGTAGTATCGGAATTTTTCTAAATAATAAAAACCTGGAAGCACTGAAGGACGGCCGTTTCGTCATGGTATGGGACTCAGAAGCAGTGCGCATCCACGACTCCTGCTCCTCGCAGGATTCTAACCCACGACCTTCGGTATTGTGCGCAAACGCCCAACCATCGGACCACTGTGCTGGCCAGCATTCAACGGTGTTATTGTCTGACTCTGATTGATCTAGGGATTGTGCGTGAGCTCACCCATTTTTCTTTGGTAGTTACTGCCTACATGCGACAGGGTTGAACTCCACTGGTCACGTCTTCTCACTGGAACTCCGAGAATTTCACCATGAAGCTAGTCACTAATGAGCACTGTTACGATATTCCGGGGCTGATGAGTCCCATACCAGGACGAAACGGCCGTCCAGTGCTTCTTCCATGTTTCTAATGATGGTCTAACAATGATTGATTAATGATTTCAAATGTGTAAAAACACAAATCTCTAAAACTGCCCCAAAATATTTCGAATATGTTCCAATCATAGGTTGTTTGTTCATTGATGACCTAATGTTGATTTCTAATCACCTATTAATCATGCGACAATATTGAAATGAGACTATTACAGTTAACATTTAAAAATTTTGCCGCCTTATAATAATGAAAACCGTTTCTACAATGGAACATTTTAAACAAATCATATTAGAATGTTGAATTTAAGAATCAGGCTAAAGATTACTTTAACTGTTAAAATAGAAAATGTTAAATATGACAGTTTTTATTTCTTATGTACGCACCAAAATGTGAACATTAAAATCTTTCTGAAAAGCGATTTTTTTTACACACACATAATATTTAGAAAATTATTCAATTTACCGATTAACAATTTGCCTTACTGAAGAGTAATGAATGGCAATATAATGAGTTCTTAATCACTTCATCATATTTATTGCATAAATTAACTTCTTACAAAGAAATCCATTTAAAACCCTCAAAAACTAATCTAATCATAATCAAATGCATAAGTGTACAAATCATGAAGCTAGTTAAAAAAATTGAACATTGAATAAAAAAAATAGTAGAATAAAACAAAAAAGCAAATTAACCAACCTTTTCAAATTCATTAAAGTGTTCAAGTTTTCTTAAACTATCTAAATAAGTTAATGCTGAATCATAATTTAAACAATAATTATGATAAATTTCTCCATCTCTTGAATGTTCAGACCACTGTATAATAAAATGAAAAAAGGAATTAAACAGAATGAAGCAAGAAAGGAGCATATAATTTGAGTTGTTTTTGAAGTATGATGAATTGTTAGTTGTAAGATTATACACAAATAACTCATTTATTGAGTTCATAAGCTAACCGAAATTTGGGAACCAATGAAAATCAGTAAACATTGGACAGCTGTTTCTTCCTACTGACATTGAACTTATGAGTTCGGTAGAAGTCAACAGTATTGAGAATACAATGAAAGTTGATAATTCAGTATCACTGATTACTCACGTCCATGAAGGAATGACATTTGGATACTAGTTCCACTGAGTTAAACGATTAGGCTGAAAGTCTTGTGTTCGATCTTGAGTGAGATGAGAAGTATGCATTGTTGAGGACTTCCCAAATCGGATGAAACATCTGTCTATTGCTTCTTGGTTAGAAGTAGTTGTCTAAATAAACTAGATCGGTTTGTGGTCTGGATAACGTTCAATTATTGTTGAATGGTGTGTTTCTATTTTTACTGAGAAAAGGTATATACTTGTTGGGGATGTTAGATCCCCAAAAATCGCTTGATAAATACCTTATTTTGGTTTTTACGTTTGCGAGCATGGGCTTATCAGTTGAACTTGAGATTTCATTTCCCACCAGGAAAATCCATGGCTGTGATTGGCTGCTGTGTGTTTTATTGTGCTATTTTCGTAACTGTCCCAAGGACATTTCTATGATGTATAAATAAACGAGAGTAGTATGCTTGATTGTATTGTGTGATTGCTGGGTGTTTGTAGAATATACTTTCTACGCTTACAAAGCCTTTTATCTTCAGCTTGGTATCCAAGCTAGCCTACCTGTACGCTGGTAAAAGTCTCGTTCGCGTTTATAGACTAAGGTAAACTCGTAATAGCCTCAAGCATACTTAGTGACGAACCTAACAATACTACTAGTAAATTCACTCAGTAAAATTAGCTATCAATGAAAGTAGGCGTTTTTTTTATCATACTGCTATAAATGATGACGTGTTTGAAGATACAATGTTTTATTATCTACTACCACCCACATAAAAAAAATTTATGAAACAGACCCTTGAATTTCAAAGATATCCATCAGTTTGTCTATAAAATAAAAACTTCAAAGCAATAGTTCTTCTAGTCTCCAAAGTATCTACTTTTGCTTTTCAAATTACAAAGATCAATGCAAATGAAAGCCATGATTAAAGGATTAAATAGGATACCATTTTATGCCTTGTAATTAAAGTTTTGCGAAGCATTGAATATTATTGCTTTGTTTAAACTTGTACTTAGCTTTAACAAGTATTTCTAGGTCTTTCAATGTAACAAAATATATTCTTATTTGATGATGATAATAATAATAGAACTAACTATGTAACCTTCGATTTGCGTGTAATGCGTTCACTTCGTAAACGATATCAGTGTAGATGTGTTTTGTAAATATGTCGTATAGATTAACATTAGAATTTGTGGTCTAATTAGTTATTTACAAGGTAATAAGTATCAAATCATTCCGACTACTAAATACTAATCAATCGATCATTGTTAGGTCACCATTAGAAACTTGCAAACACTAGATGGCCATTTCGTTCTAGTATGAGATTGATCAGCGGTGTGCATCCACGACCACCACTCGTAGGAATTGAACCCAGGACCTTCGGTCTTACATGTGAGCACTTAAACTCTAGACCACTGATCTACACCAAATGTGATAGGAATGCAATCCCACAGTGAGACATCAAACTGACTGATTTCTCACAAATTTTATGTAGGTATTCAGTATTCAGATATTTCATTAGGAAATCTTTACAGGTGATCGTAGTAAAATGTACACGATATAAAACTTGCATATAAAAAAATCCGTACAGAAATGTATGTCGCCGACAAGATTTTAACTGGAGTTGTAAGCAACGTTACACATCACTTTTCCAGAAATTTTATATTTCCACATGCAATTCTGCCCCCATATCAGGACGAAACGGTGCTTCCAGGTTTCTAATGGTGGTCTAACTTTAATCGATTCATGATTTCAAATGTTTAACTTAACAATCGTCACAACCGCGTAATGAAATTACCTGTGCTCCATGAGGAATCTTTTCCGAGTTCTAGGGGGAAGTCGTGACCAGTGAAGTTCAACCTGTTCGGGTGTAGACAGTAACTACCGTATACTATGTATTAGGTTGCTCAAGACCGTGAACTGTTAGAAGTTAGACATCAACACCGCAAGAAAGCGGCTCAGTGGTCCAGAGGTTAGGAATTCGCACACAAGACTGAAGATCCTGAGTTCGAATCCTGCGGGTTGCAGAAGTCATGGATGCGCACTGCTGATGTGTCTTGTATCCGGACGAGAAGGCCCTCTTTCAGTGCTCGCAGGTTTCTAATGGTGGTCTAACACTGATCGATTCATGATTTCAAATGTGTAACTTAACAATCTTCACAACCCCGTAATATATATATATATATATATATATATATATATATATATCTTTAAAGCATTCATTTGTAAACCTACCCTTTTTAGAGGACGAAGTAAGACATCCGTACTACCAAATTCATTTGTTACTGATTCTTGGCTTAAATTACTAATCAGTTCACGACAAAATGTATGACTAACCTATAAAATGCATGAATAATTATGTACAACAATTAAGAAATATACATTTTATTAATTTACAACTATAAATCACAGTTTAATGCCAGAATTATCTATAGAAAAATAGTGATAATTCACTCTGCAGTTAAAAGGATTCATATATTTATACACCTCAGTCCCCAAGTTTAATAAAACAAATTCGAAATTCGGGAAAGGATAAAAAACAGTTGTGGAGAAATAGGTTAATGTCCTAGTGATGGAAACAGGAATTCTTGTCAACAGATATAAATTAAATTATATTTTCCACATTTCTTTAAATGGAACTTTAATTTTCAACGTCAAAAACTGTCATAAATCATAGTTCACCTTGTTTTCAATGTTCTTACGCTTAGTGTGCATTAGCAACTCTACAGATTGGTAGGTTTCAATTTGCTCAAACGTTATGCATTTCACAGAAAAATCGAAGAATCACTTCAACAAAGTTGATTAGTTCTCAACTAAATCATATATATATATATATATATATATATATATATATATATATATATATATATATATATATATATATATATATATATATATATATATATATATATATCGAACAGATCGATTTATGCAGTAAATAGTTCACTAAACACACATTTGAATTCATTTGTTTGTCGACCGAACTATAAAAACCCATCACAATTAGTAGCCAGTATTTTAACATTTTTTCCTCTTTATTGTCTAATTATTCAAACATTCATTATGAAGTAAATTTTCATTGTTTTTCAATGAATGTATTTCTGTCAGTGTTCATGTTTCCGGGATTATTTTTTTGTATACCTTTATTCCGATAACGAAACACATGTCATCACAATATCAAATTTTTTTTTTAATTCTGATCGATGATTATATTTCATTTGTGTAATCTGTTTCATCATTTCTATTGCTGAATCACAAACTGCTATTATTCAAGAGGTAGAACCTAATGAAATAAGCTTCAAAAGAAAAAGTTTAGGATTTGAGTGAACACAAGGAATGGATACAACGACCCCATTGCAAACGGTTTTGAGCCATGTAATTCAGGGTCTCTAACCATCGGTGACTTTCATCTCGCGGACGCCAACCTGGTAGTCTACATCTACTAGCATGACTCAATCCACTTGTCAGTGATTTTATGGATTTCTGCCATGTTTTGGTTTGGCCGCTCCTAGCTTTCTTCAATCCTACTCCTACACCACAAAACATAGCTCGTCGCGGCAGTCTGCGGTTAGGCATACGTAACACATGTCCCAACCACCTCAACTGATGAAGTTTCATTTCTTCATCTATTATCTGCCATCCTTACCTAGCACCCGTTCCCTAACAACAACACTGCTTACTCGGTTGTCCAAGGATATACGAGCAATGCTTCGAAGACATATATGATCGAAAATTAGTAATCTACCAATATCCTCTACTTTTACTGGCCATGTTTCGCACCTGTATAGTAGGGTGGAGTGAACTGCTGCGCAGTACACTCGTCCTTTAGTCAGCAAAAGGATATCTCGCCTACTCCATAAGTGATGCAGGTTGGCAAAAGCCAGTCGAGCCTTCTGTATCCGTGCTGAGATCTCGTCAGTCACCTGGCCATCGCCATTGATGAGACTACCCAGATAAGTGGAGCGGTCTACACGTTTGACGACTTCACTCCCTATTACTAGTTCAGGTGCCGATGCAACCCAGTGTTGAAGCAACATTCTGCATTTCGAGGGAGAAAACCGCATCCCGAACATGTTTTCATTGTTGCTTAGGGTAATCAGAAGACTCTGCATTTTGTCAGCGTCTTCAACAAATAGAACTCTGTCATCGGCATATTCTAAGTCAATAAGAGATTTTCCTGGTAGAAGGTCCACTCCTGAAAATTCAGACGAGGATAAGGTTATTTCTAGGAGCATGTCTATGATAAAATTAAACAAGAATGAAGATGGATACCGGTTGAAATAAAGGATTCCGATGACCATTCGCCATAAACTCTCACGCGACCAGTAGTTATAGAGTAGAGAGCTTGTATAAGTTTAATGTACACCTTCCAATGACAGATACTGCCACAGAACCTCACGATCAACAGAGTCGAATGCTGCCTTAAGGTCCAGGAAAACAACTATTGTAGGACGCCTAAATGTGTGTCTGTATTCCAAGACCAGTCGTAGTGTAAAAATGTGATCTATACACCCACGTCCAGGTCTGAAACCAGCCTGGTTATCTCTAGTCTGCTATTCACGAGCTCTACTTTGGCGTCTAAGGATAGTCGAGGCTAACAATTTAGAAACTATATTAGTTAGACTGAGTCCTCTGTAATTGTCACAAGAAGACTTTTGTCCTTTCTTATGAAGTCAGTAGAATATCCAAACGGAAACCAAATTATTTGCTTGTACGCGTTGTCCAAAAATACATTATTTGACATTTCACTGAATCTTTTAGTGCTGATATATACATATATTTCTAGCATCTGTTTCGTCCTTGTATAATACTCTTCAGTTGTGCATACTCACATACTCACTCTTTTCAATATTGATAGAACCTAGAGTTTCTGACTTAAAGCATCCACAAATGAAATGACTCTCCTGAAACAATTGTCAACTTAATTCATCAAAGTCATTTAAAAAGTAACTAATATTCCTACCATTCGTATACGCAGTTACATGATAACCAAAGAAGTGTAAAAACTAAACCGCTGTAATCATTTAAAATCTTGAGGTATGTTATATCTTTTTTTTTCTTCAAAATCTTTATTATATCTCTGTTCCAGAGAAATGATTACATTTCCTATACTGAGGATTTAATAATTTTTCTTCAACTATAAATCTAACAACATGATATGGAATGCATAATTTATAACAAATCGGTGAATATTTAATTTAAACATTTGTAATGTCAAGCGTTTCAGTTTTTTAAAAATTCAAACAGTGCTCCATTTTTTCATAAAATTGACAAATGATGAAATGTTATTCAATGTTCAATTGTGTTCAATTGTATTTTTTAAAAATCAATTGTACTAATTAATTACTAATTACTTACATAACATAAATCATCCAAATTTCCAAATAAATGCATTGGTTCAACAAACATAAGATATCCATCAACTTGAAGTTTTTTTAATGGTTCCATAAAACACTGAAAATTTGAATGCATATATACACAGTTTATATATATACAGTACGTTAGCAACTGATGAACTAAATATGTGCATACATAAAACTACTTGTTACTATGGTATATTTTTTATTTTGTTGAAGAATGATTTTTTATTGAGTTTCGCCTATATATATTGCTCCTAAAAAGCAACTAGACATGTTCCATAGGAGATGAGAAAAGCAGAATAAAGTTTTCAACATTAAAGCATCTGTCATTATAAGCTGATATAATCGCACACTTTTTAAATGTGTATGTATTATTTGCATGAAAATGTACACATAGTTTTTTGGTAATGGACAAATATACATATATATATATATATATATATGCATTACGGGGTTGTGAAAATTGGTAAGTTACACATTTTTTTTGAAACCATAAATCGATCAATGTTAGACCACCATTAGAAACCTGGAAGCACTGAAAGACGGCCGTTTCCTGCTGGTACGGGATTCATCAGTAGCGCGCATCCACGACTCCTGCACCCCGCAGGATTCGAACCCAAAACCTTCGGTATTGTACGCGAACACCTTACCCTCGGACCACTGAGCCGGTATCTAACGGTGTTAATGTTTAACTTGATCAATTCACGGAGTTGCGCAACCTCATACACAGTCTTCGGTAGTTACTGTCTACACCCAAACAGGTTGAACTTCACTGGTCACGTCTTCGCACTAGAACTCGGAGAATATTCCTTACGAAGCTAGTCACTAGTGAGCACAGTAGTTGTTTAATTTCAACTTGATAATTTACAAGCTTCAGCATGTTCTCAACTCATATGATTTATTCAGTCTTAACAGTGAATGACCTTAGTTTATGAGTTTTTGAAGGTCATCAGCCTATATGTACACGTAAAATTCTAGAATAAATAGTTCATCGAAACATCAATATACACTTACATTTTTTAGCACCATAAGATGATCAGTAAAAAATGTCAGTTCACTTTTAAACAATTCCCATACTGCTTCACGTCGTCGAACTTCACGATCTGACATAACCTCTTCTGAATTTCCACTTTTATCCAGTTGCGACCAATGGGAATCCTTCAAAAAGATAATTGTGAGAGGTAAACTTTGTTTTTCGCCAACAAGTAAATGTACTCAAGTGAATATTTACATTTGAATATTCAGAAAACAAACAGACTTAGTAAGGATATTTGCATTCTCAAGGACTTTTTATCATGACTGCAGGCTGATATTTAAACAGATTCACAAATAAATAAAAATTCAATACTCGTCATATAGTTGGAAACTCAGTATGCAACTTTACAAATTCATAAATGCTTCTGGTGAGAAACGGATTTCAGTTAATACTAACAGTGTTGGGGGAGGCTAACGAAAATCAAGTGCCCTATCTCTTCTAGATTGATAGGAAGATGACAACATTGTGGTGGTGTTTCGTTCTCTGAGCTGGTTGTTTCGGTTGTGAAATGAAAGCTCCACAACCAAAACAACCAGTTCAGAGAACGAAACACCACCACAATCATCCACCTGAGCTACAAGTTTTCTCCACCATCTCAAGTTGACAACAAGGTGATTCTAACAGATATGCTGAAGTGATTGCAAGTAAACTTAATTTAGCCATAAAGATCACATAAATGCACATTGGAACCGGCTTGGTAAGTTGAATCAACGTGTTCCAAAATGAGTTATCCAATTGCTGCAACTACCTTCTTTGTCTTAATGAAAAGCCTGATATTCAGCAGAACTAACTGATTAGAAAGTAAATTTTTCTCATGTCCATTCATCGGTAGGTAAATATTCATAATAATTGACGATTGAACAAGACTTTGATTTTCTAGTGAAATATCATTTTGAAAATAATTTTCTAATCAAAACAAGATAACTAAACAGAGAAGTCACTTTATACAACCTCAACATCGTTGCATGCTAACTCAATGGTTTAGAGTTTACTAGTCAATATCCATTTGGGGTCATGTATGCTCATTGCTTAAAAAAAATTCTATAAAATTAGGACAAAAACAGCTGTTCAACTACTATTCCTTATTCTCAATAAATTATTACGTGACATCAATAACAATTTTCATTTAAAAACTGAAGAATTTTATTTTAATAAAAATAATTTTGTGTTCAATGTTTTTTTTTGTTGTTTTAATTCTCATTCAAGGTTGTTTATTTATTTATTTATTTTTTTTTTAAAAAAAATACTTCTAGTGTTTTTGAATTGAATTATTATTTAATTAACCTTAGGATGAATTAAAATTTGAAAGGAAGGTCAGCATCATCTTCATCATCATCATTATCATTTATAAAAATTGATTTGATCACACACACACACACACAAATAATTATTAACAAGAGTATAGAAGAATTTCAAAGTGAAATTATATTGAGAATCAGTAAGTAAGGGAGAGTGAGAGAGCGAGAGAGAGAGATAGGCAGAAAAACAATGAACAATGTTTTGTTCATTAAAAGAAAAAGAAAAGAGGTCAATTTGAAGTTGGGTGTTGTTGTTGTTGTTGTTTTAATATCGAATGTTATGTATATATATATATAAATATTTGTACTTTTATAAGTAATATTTATCCGTAGAAGAATATTTCTTGAACACAGAAAATTTCACGAGACTATAGAATATCAACACTGTTTTATGCGATCACACTAATATGATATCATTTACTATGAGTAGATGAAATGGTATTCTTTCAATATTCAATATAAGTTTGATATGCTTGAATGCTATTACGAGTTCACCTTAGTTGGTAAACGAGAGCGAAGACAAATGATCCAGTGACATACGATAGGCTACTCTAATCCGAGTATCTCAATGCTCCACTAAGTAGACGAAGAAGTCTTGACAAAACTTATATAAAGTGTATTCTACAAGCATCCAGAAAATATGAGGTCCACAAACACACAAATCGAGTTTATTTATATATCGTAGAAACGTCTATGGGAGAGCCACAAAAATAGCGTTCTAAAATAATATATCAACCAATTACAGTCAAGGATTTTATGGGTGGGAAGTGGAATCTCAAGGTCAACTGACCAACCCATGCTCGAAAACATAAAACCCGAAATTAGGACCTTTATCATGTCAGTTCTGGGGATCTAACTTCTCCAACAAGGTTTGTGTATTTTTTGCATTTATAACAGCTATTTTATTGAATAATGAGAAGAATAACAATTTAGTAATGTAGGTAATCATTACAATAACCAGTGTAAATCGATTGGATTCATAGAATTAAAAAAGAGAAAAAGACTCCACCGATAGAGTAGTTGATGTACTACTGATCAACATTTCTCTTGCAATAAATATACGATCAGAAAGAAATTTAATCGTCCACCTAGAAAGTTACAAATATTTTGTAAGCTGAGCTAGGGAACTGTTAAAATCAATAAACGTTTATCTGATTTCTGTTTGAGGCACATGATTATGCATAGATGAGTTTTGATAATTCATATCTCTTATCATCCTGAATTCAATAAGGAATCGCATTACTGAAGATTAACACCTACTCAATTCTTTCTAAATTTTGACAATTCTTTATATTGTTTTCGATTAGATCGTTATCAAGCTTTACTCTTTAATATACATGACTATTTATATGAAAATGTTAAACTAATCAAGGCAATTTGAGTGAACACCTCACAGCATGGTTCATAAATGGCCAGTTCTACGTTAGCATATCTAATTGATAATAGTCATATTGTAGATAAGTCTAGATCTTTTCGAGTGATCTATCTCGTATACCTCTATCATTTCTCAACGGAGTTCGATTCCGTCTCCTACACATAGCAGCAGCCATTGGAACCCATACATTCAACTGCGATTTGTGTGTTCAGAAGAAATTCGTAACACCTCTATCTCTTCCGTGGCCGGATATGACGTAACTAACGCTTTTAAAAAATTTTTCAGTTTAAAAATTTTATTTTGTCATTTTCACATCCTGTATATGTTGGTAATTTTCTGTCTCTTTCCGTTCATATTCTTCACTATCTAATTATGTACACACTTCTTATTACGTAATGGTTTTAATGTTTTGTAATGATTATTTTAAGTCTATGTATCCACGTTTGACCTACTATTGATAAAACTATAGTTATCGTATTTTATTTTTCTTACTACTATCACAGTATACTTGTCTTCCTACCATCAACTTGTACATTTCCGCCTATGATGTGTAGTGACGCAATCTGTATTTCATTTCATTGTGATTATTGACTCATAAATTGCCTTGATTGGTTTAACATTTTCATATAAATATTCATGCATATTAGATAGTGAAGCCTGATGACGATCTAATCGAAAACAACACTATTGTTCGCTTATATGTGTTGTTCTAATTTTCACAATGGGCATCTTCAAAATTCTTTACATTTTTCATCCTAGAATTATGGAGAACGTTGTTTCACAGTGAAATCATGAGTCAGTTAATACACATTTGAAATCATCAATCAATCATTATTAGACCACCATTAGAAAACTGGGAGCACTGGACGGCCGTTTCGCCCTGCTATGGGACTCATCGATGCCAGTGCGCATCCACGACTCCTGCACCCCGCAGGATTCGAACCCAGGGCCTTCGGCATTGTAGGAGAACGCCTTGTCATCGGACAACTGGACAGACACCCAACGGTGTTAATGTCAGTTAATGTTAGACTACCATTAGAAACCCGGAAGCACTGGATGGCCGTTTCGTCCTGGTATGGGACTCATCAGTACTGCCTATCCATAACTCCATGAGTCTCATATCAGAACAAAACGACCGTCCAGTGTTTCTAGGTTTCTAATGTCGGTCTAACAATGATTCCGATTCATGATTACAAAATAAAAACCTTAATATAACTCTGATCGAATTCTACTCACTGCGTGCTTAATCAGCAATCAAAAGGAAGAAATGATACATTTGAATGCTGTATTCAAATATTTGTCAATATTTCAAATATCATTTTTTATAAATAGTAATTAATTCTATCAGATAGAATAAATTTCAAATTATCCATTGAATAGGATTGATTACGTATAAAGGAGAGTACTCATTATTATTATTATTATTATTATTGTTATCGTTATTTCATTCATGAATTTCTCAAAATGAAATGCTAATTCTTTACAATGTAAACAGTCATATTCAATAGCATGAATGTCAAGATTAAAAATCACTAAAAAGAAAATTCAAAATTTTCTAATTAGAAAAAAATAGAGCATCATTAGTGAGTAAGTTTACTTACTTAGCTTACTTATGCATGAATAATTTTACAGGGAACTATACACAGTACATCATAAATTGTATTCAGAAATTGAAAAAAAAATACTATTAGAGTAAATAGTAGCTCTGCATAACCATGATCAGACTTCATAGTGGTCAGTTCGTAATAATGGTAGTAGTAGTAGTAGTAGTAGTATTGGTAGTAGTAGTAGTAGCAGTAGTAGTGTGGTGAATGAGAACACAGGTGGGGGCAACCGAATTGTATTCAACGAAATTACAGAGTTACTCAGTAAAATCGGAAAACCATATCGTAAATCGTTAATTTGCAAAATATCAGTTCATCCTATGGAACTGGACTGTTCCTGTTGCCAAACATCAATCCATTGTCACTCTTCATGCGTTTCATACAAATTCCATTGTTTTCTGACTCTTCCTTTCTTGATCTTCCCCCCATATTATGCTACCAGACTTTACGTTGACACTCACGCTATATACTACTTATAAGTAGTTCGCACCACAGCACCACACTCGTCCCCCCTTTTAATAAGCTCTCGTCGTAGTCCTTCAAAACAGAGACCCTGGTCAGTTAATATCACCTTCCGTATTCCGTGACACGCTACAATATGCCGGGTTACCACTTCGGTCATCGTTCTTGATCACTGGTCTGGAATGGATACGGCATCTATCCAACGTGTAGCGTTTACAAGTTCCCGATGCTGGAACACGGCGGCAGGCACACACTCGAAAAACTGCGACGCCAAAGACTGTGCCCCGCCCACTCCTCACGGCGCAATCCGGTGAGCTCCACAGCAAGCACCAACAGGTCACCATCGGCCGACAGCCGCGCCAACCGGAACCTCTGCGGCGCCTCCTCCCTGTCCGCTGGGCTGTCGAACTCCATTATCAGCCACCCGGTGACCGTCTCCCACGCCGTCTCCTCGGCGGCACCGTCCAGGCTGTCGTGTACCGCCTTCGCCTCACCTCCCCGCAGCGTCCCCAGCACCGTCAACTCCGCCCCAGGCCCCCACCAGCTCCACCGTGGCCCCAAACTCCTCCAGGAAGCTCCGCCAATCTCCGTCCTGCAACTCCTTCGGCCACGGGAGCCCTTTCCTTCGAGCAGGCAGCGACACCAAATGTAGTGAATGAGAACACAGGTGGGGGCAACCGAATTGTATTTAACGAAAATTACAGAGTTACTCAGTAAAATTGGAAAACCATATCGTAAATCGTTAATTTGCAAAATATCAGTTCATCCTATGGAACTGGACTGTTCCTGTTGCCAAACATCAATCCATTGTCACTCTTCATGCGTTTCATACAAATTCCATTGTTTTCTGACTCTTCCTTTCTTGATCTTCCCCCCCATATTATGCTACCAGACTTTACGTTGACATTCACGCTATATACTACTTATAAGTAGTTCGCACCACAGCACCACAGTAGTAGTGGTAGTAGTAGTGGTAATAGTAGTAGTGTAGTGAACAAGAACACAGGTAGGGGGAACCGAATTGTATTTAACGAAGATTACAGAGTTACTCAGTAAAATCGGAAAACCGTATCGTAAATCGTTAATTTGCAAATTATCAGTCGATCATATGGAACTGGACTGTTCCTGTTGCAAAACATCAATCCACTTTCACTATTCATGCGTTTCATACAAATTCCATTGTTTTCTAACTCTTCCTTTCTTGATCTTCCCCCATCTTCTGCTGCCAGACATTACGTTGACACTCACGTCATATAATACTTATAAGTAGCTCGCACCTCAGTAGTAGTGTAGTAGTGTAGTAGTAGTAGTAGTAGTAGTAGTAGTAGTAATAGTAGTAGTAGTAGTAGTAGTAGTAGTAGTAGTAGTAGTAGTAGTAGTAGTAGTAGTAGTAGTAGTAGTAGTAGTAGTAATAGTAGTAGTAGCAGTGTGGTGCGCGCCACTTATAAGTATTATATGACGTGAGTGAAAACGTAATGTCTGGCAGCAGAAGATGAGAGAAGATCAAGAAAGGAAAAGTGGGAACACAATGGAATTTGTATGAAACGCATGACTAGTGAAATGTCAGACAATGGATTGATGATGGATTGAAGATTCGCAAATTAACCGTTTACAATATGGTTTTCCTATTTTACTGAGTAACTCTGTAATTTGCGATAAATACAATTCGGTTGCCCTCACCTGTGTTCTCCTTCACTACAGTAGTAGTCGTAGTAGTTGTCGTAGTAGTAGTAGTAGTAGTAGTAGTAGTAGTAGTAGTAGTAGTAGTAGTAGTAGTAGTAGTAGTAGTAGTAGTAGTAGTAGTAGTAGTAGTGGTAGTAGTCTCTCTCATTAGATGCTGTTCTTCTACTGTTGTAAAAAACGAGGTATACTTTTACATTGAATAACGCATAACTACTTTCAAAATGTGCTGTTATTTTTCTCTCAAATTAGAAATTTTTCTTCATAAAAGGTTAAAATGCTTTGTTATGTAAGATATCATGTTACAATTAGTGTGATGACCAAAGAAGTCATGTGAATTAAGATACAGAATAGCAGACTTTTGTCTCGTTAATTGAGGTAATAATAATAATAATAATAATAATAATAATCTTAATGATAACATCATGTGGTTATAATACGCAATTAGAGAAAGCGATAAAGAGAGGTATTGCCGAGTTAACTATAACGGGGAATTCATGCGAACTTTATAAAGACAAATGCGTAAATGAAGTATACGGCAGGTAATTCGGTTTACCAAGTCCACTTTAGGTATATTGGAATCAGGCTGATCAAAGCAAATACAGATATGTTAAACATAACTCTTTTGAATACATAAGTGATGGCTTCATCTCCATATGGAATGGTAGTAATTGTATTTCTCTTAAAGGTAGATTGCATCTTAATCAGTATTATTTTTGTGCCTAGTGTCGATTAATTCATAATCTATCGTCTAGTTTAACCACTGTATTAAATTTAGTTTGTATTAAAGTTGCGTGAACTATGAGAGTGAGTAGACTGACAAATACATTTATTTTTTCCAAATAAATCTGATCTTATGAAATTGTCTACCTTTTAGGAACAGAGAACATAAAAAGGTCTTATTGTTATCATGTTCTTTTCGTTTTTTGCTCAGTGAATTTCATAATTAGATGAACGTTACGGAAACGGATCAATAACTCTTGTCAATTGATTCTCCTGTCACATATATATATATATATATATATATATATATATATATATATATACATGGATTAGCGTGTCTCATCTCATGTATTGACAAGAATACTCTGTCCCATTCAAGATATTTTTCATTGATCCATTTTCTAGTCTAGATGAATAAATATCAGGGAATGTTGTTGCTTTCTGTAGGGTTCGTCACTAGGTACGCTTGAAGCTATTACGAGTTCACCTTAGTCGATAAATGCGAACGAGACAATGAGCCAGCGTCCAGATAGGCTACCTTGAATTCCAAACTGTAAAACAGAAGACTTGGTGTAGAGTAGATTGTATATTCTACAAACACCCAGCAATCACAATACAATCAAGCCCAAAACTCTTGTTTATTTATACATCATAGAAACGTCCTTGGGACAGTCACAATAATAGCACACTAAAATACACAGCAGCCAACCACAGCCATGGCTTTTCCTGGTGGTGGGAAATGAAATCTCAAGGTCAACTGATCAGTCCATGATCGTAAACGTTAAATCCAAAATAAAGCATTTATCAAGCGAGTTTTGGGGATCTAACATCCCTAACACTTTCAAATATGGTCGAGTTAACGAATATGCATCATTAAAAATTTGAAGATCAATGATTTGAAATAGTGTCACATGTTTCGATAATTTGTAGAAAAAAATAGTGCCACACCCTGTAATTAATTCATGAAGATGATTATTCTGTTCATTCGCATTAAGTTTGGAATAAGACACAAGTGAATGATTTTGTTTCCAGATCAATTAATTCACAAGGAGTGTAGTTTTCTCTTGTTTGATGTGAAATATTCACATAGTATTCGCTACTCGCAGGATTCGAACCTAGCACCTACGGTCTTGCGCGCGAGCGCCTAACATCACGACCACTGGGCTGGCATCCATCAGTGTTAATGTCTAACTTTGATCAACCTAAGTATTTAGTGCAACTTCACAAAAAATTTTAATTTAATTGTTAGCTTAACTATCATTCAATCAATAATTATGAATCTTATTCAAGATTTAGCGAACTCAGTGTACTCCACTATCCTCAGGATATTCACCTTGAAAATCTTTATTATTAATTAAACGCTTTATTTAAGTAGTATATGAATTATCGTTCAGTGATAGATGAATGAATAATAACATCTTTATTTGCAAACGAATTGGTCTTGTTTATCAATGCTACATACATTTAAAAACATTTTTAAATATCGCTTATTCTAGGGAAAAATTTGACTTACTCTAAATGATTCTAAATACTGATCATGAAAATAAGAAGATTTAAGTGATTGTAATGCTTCATTTAAATCTTTAGAACGTGTACCTCTTTCAATCTGAAATTAATATAAAAGCAATTTGTTTCGGTTAGGAAATAAAGTATTTTTACCTGTAATTTAAAAGTAAACAGTTTTTGTAATTTGTAATAATAATTAACATTTATTTTAATGTATGAACAATAGTTAATTTGAATTATATTTTCTGGTTAACGTTTCTTTAGCGAGTTATTTTTCTTCAAGATGGGATGACAAACCTCACGCCCAACCCTCCTCCTTTATCCGGGCTTGAGATCGGCAGTAGCCCGAGTAGAACTGTATGGGGCATTAAGTTGTAAAACTGCGAAAGCCATCATCCAGAAGATACAAATGTTTAGCAATAGTTACCTATGCAAAATACTTCGGATCGTTCACCAAACACCATCAGTAACTACCTACTGTGTCTGAGAACAAACTAGATTCCAAAGGAGGGAATAAATAAAGAAGAAGCCCAGGAAGTGAATAGGACACACTTTGATGAAAGCACTCAACCGCGTCACAAGACAAGCCTTCACTTGGAACCCTCGAGGTCAAAGGAAAGGAGGAAGGCCTAGGAACAGATTACCTCGAGAAATGGAGAGGTGATACACACAGGATGCGCATACGTTGAGAGAGACAGATTAAATACAGTCATAAACATCAGCAGAAACATTCAAATAACCAATTCAAGAACGAATTAGTATTACTTTTGCATTAAAATATGAAATGACAATTATTCATACTTAGAATAAACAAAGACCTTTGCTCTTGGAATACGAGTTCACCTTACTCGGTAAATAGAATGAAGATCAGCGATGCAGTGACACGTTAGCCTATTCTAATCCGATTATCCCAGGCCCCACTAACTAGAGCCATAAGTATTGATAAGACGTCGAGAAATGTATTCCTTAAGCATCCAGAAAGTATGGGGTTCAGTAGCACAAAACTCTAGCTTATTTATACAATTGATAAAACGCCCTCAGTTAGAGCCACAAAATAACGTACTAAAATAATCCATCAAGAAATGACAGTCAAGTATTTTTCAAATGGAAAATGTAAGCTGAAGGTTAGCTAAGCGTCTTCGGCGCGAAAACATAGAAATTCAAATTTTTCAGAATTAAATTACAAAATTAGAACATTTTCCAAGTGAGTTCTGAGAATCTAACCTCCCCAAACACATATGTTCATCCCGTGCGGATTGAGAGTATATTATCACTTACTCACAAGTAGTCCTGAATACACCAAGAAAATGTCTCATCAAATGCACTGTTTAAGTATTCAGAATACAGTTAGTTATTTTTTTGTGATATTTGAAGGCGGCCCTAGACGATTTTTTTTGCGGAACCAGCCGTAAAGATCATGGACTATTGGCGCCGACCCTATGTGGTTGCCCCTTACACTCTGCACCCGATGTATTGTGTGAACTGGCGTCGAGTCCCCTTAAACAAGGGTCTCCAGTAGGGTTTCGGCGTTCCAATGCTAAACTGGTACTGGACGCCAACGATGTCTGCCCACTTACTTAGACGAACTCTATTTTTAGCTTCATGTGGGGCCTTGAAGACTCCGATCGATTGTATCAGCGCAAGGCAGTTGGAGGCCAGACGGTTGGAAAGGCTACTGGTTAGTGCACTGACAGGGTGGCTCGATAATCCGCTTCGGGGTGCCAGGTTCAGCTGGGTAAGTCTGCCTTGTCGCCCATGCCAATTGGGGATCTTGGGTAGTGGATTGGTGGAAATATCTTGTTGATTCATAAGTGTCCGAACGGGGACCACTGTTCGTGTGTGTGCTTTTTGGATGTCCGACCTGCTTGCAGACCAAGCTGGAAAACATGTATGTTCCCGATTGGGGCAGGGATGATCACTGAACGGCTAAAGTGAAAGTCCTTGTGTTGCTTGAAAAGCATCGATGTGCATGTGCAGCAGGCTTGATGGTTAACCGTGACTAGTCTTGAATAGACCAGAAAATCTGTCTCATGAAATTCACTGTTTAAATATTCTGAATACAGTTAGTTATTTTATTTTATTATTTTTTTTTGTAGTAAAATAAATTTGAATTATGTAAAACAAAATCTTTTTTCTTTTTTGTTTGACAAAAACTTACTAGTTTCATGAAAACATTTGCTCTTCTTTTCAATTCTAATCAAAATAACAAAAACAAAAAATAAAAATAAATGAAACATTATGAAAAATGAAATTTTTACATTACGAAAAAACAAAAAAATGGAAAGCAATTTACTAATAAATGGCAAAAATGTCCATTTTGTCATTCAAGTGAAAAGACTGAATGATGAAGAAGCAGAAGAAATTTGTTTTCAATGAATTCTTCAGCATGATTCCTTCAACAAAATATACATACATATATTTCGAATGTGCAACAAACATTTATCTCCATCACTCTAATTGAAAAATTTGTAAAATGTGTTCAATAGTGACTAGATTTGTGAGGAAATTCTCAGAGTTCTAGTGAGATGATGTGACTAGTGGGGTTCAACCCTATTGGATGTAGGCTGTAACTACCAAAGACAAATGAGTGAGGTCACGCGAAATCTGTGGATCGATCAAAGTTAGACATCAACACCGTTGAATGCCAGCCAGTTCAGTAGTCCAGAGGTTAGGCATTCGCGTGCAGGACCGACGGTCCTGGGTTCGAATCCTTTGAGGTGCATGAGTCATGGCTGTACACTGCTGAGTACCATACCAGGATAAAACGGCCATCTTTCAGTGCTTTGAGGTTTCTCGTGTTGTTCTAGTATTGATTTATCGATGATTTCAATGTGCAACAAGCGCTAATCTCTATAACTCTAATTAAAAATCATACATATTTATAATTTTTAACAATGAATTATTATGCTCATCCAGTAGTTATTGTAAAGTAATATTTATCTAATACCATAAATGATTATAGTCTAAATAATTATTTCATTATTATTTTTAGAACGATTTTTCTTCCGATTACTCAATATTATTTATCATCATTGTTAGATTATATAATTGTCATGTTACGCAACTGCTCCATGAGTAATAATCCATTGTTATAAATCATATATGTATATTTATTTGGGTAGGATCATCATGAAGAATTCATTGTAAATAAATTTCTTTGCTCAAATTATGAAATGGTGGAAACTATGAACAATTCTTATTGACATGATCATTTGAGATATTTGATAAAATGTATCAACAACACTTTAACTGTTTGCAATTCATTGCGGGTTAGAAATTAGAATATAAATACAGATTTTTAAAAAAGTGAAGATTGAAATGATGAGTAGTTCATTGTTAGATCAACATTAGAAACTTGGAAGCACTGGGTGGTTGTTTCGTTGTGGTATGAGACTCATCAGCAGTGCGCATCCAAGATCCCCATTCGCAGGAATCGAACTCAGTGAATAGCTTTGTGAGGAAATTCTCGGAGTTCTAGTGAGAAGCCGTAACCAGTGGAGTTCAACGCTGTTAGGTGTAGGCAGTAACTATCAAAGAAAATGGATAGGGTTAAGCAATAACTTAGATTGTTCAAAGTTAGATATTAACATCGTTGTATGCCAAGCTAAGCGATCTAGAGGTTAAGCGTTTGCAAAGACCGAAGGTTTTGGATTCGATTACAAGTTGTGGAGTGGTGTATGCGCACTGCCGATCTGTCCTGTACCAGGAAGACCGTCCAGTGTTTCTTCCAGGTTCCTGATGGCGGTCTAACAATGATCGACTCATGATTTCAAATGAGAAACAACATTCTTTATGTCTATATAATGAAAATAGAAGATTAGAGATATGTATTCACAATATAATAACCATTCTGATTATTTTTTTAAAATATGAATCTGATATTTATTCCTCGGAGATGATAATTATTTGAACAAATGAAATCTTGCCGCGAAATATTTTGATTTCATTTGAAATAACCACTTTGATATGAATATTTTAAACAAACATTGAATGATTCACCTTCTAAACTTGTAAAATTGAATCAATTCTGTGTGTATAAAATAAATGCAATTTGTGTTTCATATATATTAGCGGCATTTCACATGAAATAATTGCAATCAAATATTCGATGAAACAGTCGGATCACGCTGTGATTAGACATACATAGCCGATATTAATCATGTGCATAGATTATTTCTATATGGAGAATATATTTATCAAAGCAATGTTAGTATTTTGACACCTATCTTTTGAGGATTATAAACTGGAAAAAAATTGAAATTTCGGAAGAATAATGAAAAAAAAATATATATATATACAGCACTTAGATGCTGATTAATCCCACACTAGGACGAAACGTCTGTTCAGTGCTTTTAGCTTTCTAATGGCGGCCTGACAATGATTGATTGATGATTTCAAATGGGTAGAAACACTTATATCCATAACTCTGATTGAAAGAGGCATTTAGATTGTTGATTTAACACACTTGTTTGATGTCATTTGTTGACATTTTTCTGGGTAGATTTATGCAGTTTGACGAAATGTCATTTTTCTTTCAAAGTGAGACCATAGTGATAATTTGTAAACACACACTGAGCCTATTTTATAATTCACTGATTAATGTTTACGTTCTCTGAGCTGGATGCTTTGGTTGGTTGTGAAGCTTTCATTGTTCTTCTTCTGAACAACATCATCAGCACAAACTTCAGATAGAAGTGAAGTATTCGAATTTCTCCAAGTTTGGCCTGTAGCTTATTCTGCTAACCTCAATCTTCATTGCTTGCTGTTGACCTTAAACCTGTTATGGTTTGCATCTTTGTTTTGATTATATCCCCTCTTTTGATCTGTCTCTTGATCCGAAGCTGATGATGTTGTTTGTTCAGAAGAACAACAATGAAAGCTTCACATCCAGCTCAGTGAACAAAACACCGCCACAATCATTATCTACTTGAGCTAGAAATTTTCTCCACTATCTTTTTCTAATTTACTGAATGAATGTTTTACATTTTCTAGTAGGATAAACCGATGCACAATATATATATCTGTTGTTAGTAATGCTCATATCTTACATAATTCAGTATTTTCTAATTCTTGCTAAGTGTTTATCAAAAGTGATACTTATGAAGGATAATTAATATTGAATGTTGTTTATTTATTAGACGTTAATGTAAAATCAGGAAGAAGTGGTGGAAGTGGATAGGACACACACTACGAAAAGCATCTAACTGCGTCACAAGACAACCCCTAACATGGAACCCTCAAGACAAAAGGAAAAGAGGAAGGCTAAGGAACATATTACACCGAGAAATAGAGAAAGATATGAGAGGAATAAACAAATATTGGACAGAACTGGAAAGGGAATCCCATGACAGAGGTGGTTGGAGAAAATTGGTGGGCGACCTATGCTCCATTGGGGGTAACAGGAGTAAGTAAAGTAAGTAAGTAATGTATCCTCTAGGTTGTTCTACTGTTAGTTGAAAATCGTTTATGATATATGCATTCACTGAAATATGCCAAAAGTTTATTTCATTATTTAAGTGGTAAGTAACTCATTAAGTCATGATGTAGTATTCTGTAAATGATTAACAGGGAGATTTTAAATGATATCAGAGTTCACTTCGTTACACTATTATTATTGGCAATTATTATAAATTAACCCTCTATTGTCAAGAGCAATTTTACATTGGTTTTCGGGAGAACTAAGAAGACTTTCCACGTGTTAACAGTACAACTTGAACCGTTCGGCTCAATCTCACCGTGCAACCCCACAGGTACATGATACCCAGGTGGATCATTCACATCATTTATATTCACTAGTACATATATAGTGATTATTTCCGATCCATGATCACGTCAGTCAATACGCATCGCATGGATAGGCCATGTAGATACATCCCACTTACATGACTGTCAAACTCAGGATTATTAACAATGGTGATATGTAATAAAGCAACCCCGATGACAATGGCCCTCGGAAATGTTGTAAAACAACCACCAGTATCAATGAAATCGGTCGCCCTGCTGACCAATTTTGCGTATGGATTGTTAGTGATGCTTACCAAAGGCACTGCCAAACCATCCATAATGTTCCCAGCCAACCTCTTGTCTCATAGGAAACCTTCAGTGCCATATAGGGGCATAGCATACAGTTAGTTCACTTCGTACAAACAAGTTTTGTTGCTTTTTTCTATAAATAAACAACTCAATTGAAAATTAATAAATTTCATCAGAAATTTATTGAAGTAAGAGAAAATTCTGAATCCCATCCCGTCGAAATTCAACTCGCTTAAAAAAAAACGCTAACCAGAAAAAAATTCGCTAATTGTTACTCCGCTCACTGTAATTATGAGTTCAAGTGATAATGATTTGGTTACATAAATACGAATCTGATTGTTTTTTTCATTTTAAATAAATAATCTACAATGTAGGCGTATTATTATGCAATGATCAATAAGTAGGCGGTGTCTGGGATTTTCAAATATTTTCCCACTCACTTACTGATCAAATATTGCATAGACGAGTAGTATAATATTCATTAAAAATCTATTCTCGATTCTTAACTTTCATAGTATATTCAAGTTTTGTCAGCCAGTTTGTTGGGCTGGATTTTCAATACAAACGACAAGACAGTTATACTGTATGCAGCAAGAACTTGGAGAACTACCAAAGCCATCATCCAGAAGATACAAGTGTTCATTAACAGGTGTCTACGCAAAATACTTCGGATTCGTTGACCAGACACCATCAGCAACACCCTACTGTGGGAGAAAACAAACTAGATTCTACTGTAGGAGGAAATCAGAAAGAAGCGCTGGAAGTAGATAGGACATGCATTGCAGAAGGCACCCAACTGAGTCAAAAGACAAGCTCTCACATGGAACCCTCAAGGCAAAAGGAAAAGAGGAAGGCGAAGGAACTCATTACACCGAGAAATAGAGAAAGATATGAAAGGAATGAACAAACATTGGACAGAACTGGAAAGGGAAGCCCATGACAGAGTTGGTTTGAGAAAACTGGTTGGCGGCCTTTGCTCCGTAGGGCGTAACAGGCATAAGTTGTAAGTAAGTAAGTAAGTTGTCAGGTTGTACTACATTGACGTGTTCATAACAAACAGATTTGGACAAATGCACATGCAACTGTCTATCTACATTGTAGCGTATAACGTATAAGTATACACTAGTGAATAAAAAGTTATTTTCCGCCTTTTGTTAATTTCTTTAATGAATCAGGGTTAATTAATATGATTCTTCTCAGTCATGAATAAGTTAAAACTAATCAAAGAAAAAAATCAGCTTACCATAATCTTGATTTGTATTGGTCATTTGATTTCGATAACTTAAATCAGCTATAGTATTTTGTTTTCGCAATATTCTCCTTTGTCGTTCACGAAATGAATTTACTGATGTGGTTAATGTTGAACGTTCTTGTCCAGTTTCATTTAAGTTTCTAGACAGTTTAACAAATAAGATTAATAAAAGGTTACATTGATCTTGTGCTTCAAATGAAAGTGTAGCAATGGAAATATCAGTAAAGAGGCTAATAAAAAAATATACAATTTATAAGACATTGATCACAGTTGGCATGAATTTGATTCAACGAATTCCACCATCAAAGACATCCATGTGCGTTTAGTCATTAATTTACTCTTTCAGTGCCTCTTATATAGAAGATGCAATTGAAAATGTCAGCCACTGTGTCACGGAACACCGTTCAACCTGCCTAATTGGAGTATCAAGAGCTTTATTCTCACTAACTTGATAGGCACAAGAAATAAGGTAGATGGAATCAACAAGAGCTTTCAAAGCTATTTATTATTAACATACAAGTGTTTATTAACAGTTGCCTACGCAAAATACTTCGGATTCGTTGACCAGACACCATCAATAACAACCTACTCTGGGAGAAAACAAACTAGATTCCAGTGGAGGAGGAAATCAGGAAGAAGTGGTGGAAATGGATAGGACACACACTGTGAAAAGCACCTATTTGCGTCACACGACAACCCCTCACTTAGAGAACCCTCAAGGCAAAAGGAAAAGAGGAATTCCAAGGAACACATTACACCGAGAAATAGAGAAAGATATGAGAAGAATGAACAATAACCGGACAGCATTGGAAAGGGAAGCTCAGGACAGAGTTTGTTGGAGAAAACTGATGGGCGCCCTATGCTCCATTGGGGGTAACAGGCGTAAGATAGAAGAACAGAAGATTTCATTGACACTGTCATACCATTTATTGATTTTTCGTTTCCATACCACCAAAGCAACACCAATCTGTATCGAAAAAAATTCCAAACCTGTTTCACCCAATAAAAGTTAGTACAACTTCTGTCTACCTTGCGACATCTGTTACAAGAATCAATACACCAGATTTCTTGTAAAATAGTTTCAATATATTTTTCTTGATTCTTATTACTTCATTGGATTTTTATAAATCATTCAGTTATCTATTTCAACTATTCTTCTTATCAATCATATTATCATTTAAGATGAAAAGAAAATATAAATTCATGTAATTTAAAATCCTTTTACTTCATGTTTTTGAAATGAAAATTTTCAGGTTAGTGATAAAACAATAGTTACTTTTGCTTCTTGAATAAAGTGTCATGGCTTCATTTTTAGAAACACGCGGATTTTGTAACTAAGGCATTATTCAGATGGTCTAACAATGATTGATTGATGATTTCAAATGTGTAAAACCACAAACCTCCAAAGCTTTGCTTGAAAATATCGTAACAGTGCTCACTAGTGAGTAGCTTCGTGAGGAAATTCTCGGAGTTCTAGTTGAGAAGACGTGACTAGTGAAGTTCAACCCTGTCGGGTGTAGGCAGTAACTACCAAAGACAAATGGGTGTGGTGGCGCAAAGCCCCTTGATCAATCAGAGTTAGACATTAACACCATTGGATGCCGGCCCAGTGATCCAATGGTTAGGTGTTCGCGCACAATACCGATGTTCCTAGGCTCGAATCCTGCGAAATGCAGGAGTCGTGCATGCGCACTGCTGATGAGTTCCATACCAGGACGAAACGGCAGTCTTTCAGTGCTTCCAAGTTTCTAATGATGGTCTAACAATCATTGATTGATGATTCAAAATATGTAAAAACACAAACCTCCGATAATGCTCTGCCTGAAAATTATTCAGATAATCGAAAGTGATGCAGAATGTTTTTTTACAGAAAGGGATCGAAAAATTCGCGCTTTAAGGTACTCATTAAATGTTTTTTAAGTTTTGAACAAATTCTATGATTGGAACGCAATACTAATATCAAAATGAATCAGATGAAAGCCCAAATGTACACTTCTAAGTAAGTTGGTAATCCGTTTTATGCTTTAGGGAATTGTTGGGGACGTTAGATCCACGTACGAAGTGCGATGTCCTGTATTTGCCCGTAACTACAGAACAAACCATGGTCCTTGGGCAGAAGCGCGAGTGGTCTGAAGAGTTGGACGAGTTATGTACGAAGTAGAGGTAGGAGGTGATAAATGGTCGCGCCATCAAAATCAGATACGCAAACGGCTAGCCACAGATCGCCCATCAAGAGCAGAAAATCTTCCCCTTGAAATGTTACTTGATACCTTCAACCTACCAGCAGCCCCACCGCGAGATGAAACTCAGCAGCAAGCTGTTCTCCGCTCCAGAAGGTATCCTCTCAGACAGCGGCAAACGACAGTCAAGATGCAAGTCGACCCCAGGAGCGCACGCTATTATAAAGGGGAGGAGTGTTGGGGCCGTTAGATCCCCAGAACTCGCTTGATAAATGCTTTAATTTGAATTTTACGTTTGCGAGCATGGGCTGGTCAGTTGAACTTGAGATAACATTTCCCACCAGGAAAATCCTTGGTTGTCATTGGTTGCTGTGTATTTTAGTGTGCTATTACTGTGACTATCCCAAGGACGTTTCTATGATGTATAAATAAACGAGATTTGCGTGCTTGATGGCATTGTGCTTGTAGAATACACTTTCTATGCTATACCAAAACTTTTAGTTCATCATCGGATCAGAGTAGAATAGTTTCCCAGAGAAATATAGGCGAAATTTTTTAATTAACTCTACTGAATACGTTTTTTGTTAGTAATGAACAAGTTTGCAAAACAAAATTATCTTAAAGTGTGATTAGAATAGTAACTGCTTCAGTGAAAGAAAGTATTTTTAGGTTTGAATGCAGAAAACTATCAGACGAATTTCTTGCTGATCTGTTTATTACTGTCTAACATGATTAGATGGAAAAAAGTGAACCTAATTGTTACGTTCGTCTCTAGGTATGCTTAAACTATTACAGGTTCACCTTGGTCGATTAACGAGAACAAAACAATGGACCAACGTTCATATAGGCTACTGTGATCCCTTGACCAAAATGTATCAGCAAGAAGTCTTGATATAGAGTAGAAAGTGTATTCGACGAACATCCAGCCAACACACAATCAATCCAAGGACTCAAATTGCGTTTATTTATACTCTATAGAGACGTCCTTATGACAGTCACAAAAATAGCACACTAAAACAAAACAGTAACCAATCACAGCCAAGGATTTTCCTGATGGTGGAAAATGTGATCTCAAGGTCAACTGATGGGTCCATGAAATAAATCTAAAATAAAGATATTTAACAAGTTAGTTCTAGGGATCTAACATCCCAAACATCAATCTAGTGAATGTTCACCAAACTATCATTCAGTGATTTACATATATGGAATCAACAAAAACTAACATTATATCATGATATACATTATCACAGGTGTATACACCTGTGTTTATTCAGTATCATAGAGAAAATCATAAATTTTCATGAAAAAATAACAGCATATAATAGTTTTGTTTTTATCGTTTTCATTTTTTACAACCTTCACTAATTATCCAATTAGAGTAGTGACAATAATAATTTATTGAGGTTGCTTAATGCAGTGGATTGATTTGAAATTTGACCTTAAAACTGAAGGTCCCGGTTTCGTTAATTGATTGTAGGGTAGTGGATGAACGCTGCTAATTAGTCATATACCAGGATGAGATGGCCAATCAGTGATTCCAGTTTTTCAATAATGGTCTAACATTGATCTACCAATGATTTTAATGAAACACAACAATCTCCACCGTCCTATAATGATAAAGTAATTTGTTGTTTAAGTTTATCAAACAAACGTATTGTTTCAGTTTATTGTTTATTCAAATTCAAATTATCAGTAGGGCGAATAAAGCAATTTGGTTGTTAAACGCAGTTTCATGAATTATCAATTTGTGTTATATATGTGAGATGTTACACTTTGACTGTCTTTACACCGCGTGTGTACAAGCAATTCTTTCTTGTGTGTAACGTTAGTATACAACGTAAAGTTTGTTGAGTTTCATTAAAATCACGAACATACATAAAGGAAAAAGCAAAATTCTCGGAAGCAACACAATATGCACCAACCAAATCACTCTTGATGGAGATGCCTTGGAGGAGATTAACACCTTTACATATCTTGGCAGCATCATCGACGAGAAAGGTGGATCCAATGCACATGTGAGGGCGCGGATTGGCAAAGCAAGAGCTGCATTTCTACTATTGAAAAATATCTGGAACTTCAAACAACAAACAACCAGAATCAGGATTTTCAGTACAAATGTCAAGACAGTTCCACTGTATGGAGAGGAAACTTGGAGAACTACCGAAGCCATCATCCAGAAGATACAAGTGTTCATTAACAGTTGTCTACGCAAAGTGGATAGGAAACACACTACGAAAAGCACATAACTGCGTCACAAGACAAGCCCTCACATGGAACCCTCAAGGCAAGAGGAAAAGAGGAATTCCAAAGAACAAATTACACCGAGAAATTGAGAAAGATGTGAGAGGAATGAACAAAATTTGGACAGAACTGGAAAGGGGAGTCCAGGACAGAGTTTGCTGGAGGAAACTGGTGGGTGGCCTATGCTCCATTGGGGGTTACAGACTCTCCGCCACGAACCGATTCAGCTGAAACTGCCACTAGAAACGTAGGTGCAGTGGAAGCCCGTTTCATCATCATCATCATCAGCAGTGCACTAAAGAGGCCGATACTACACCAAGACAAAACGGTCATCCAGTACTTCTAGCTTTCTGGTGAAAGTCTAACAATGATCGATTCAGGATGATAATGGGTGTGTTTGCGATTGTGTCGCAAGTTTGGAAACAACTGAAACTGCTTGTCAATAGTCACTCTGAGATTTTATATCATTTAAATACAATGATGGAAAATCTAGCTCGTAAGGAATTTTCTTTGAAAAGTGTGATACAACATGAACAACAATAATGTAAATTTTCTTGTCGTGTAAAAAACTAACACTGAAAAATCTCATCCATTATGAAGTTCTTGATTTCTACTTATTATACACTCTGTACATTATTACACAAAACTTGTCTTTCACATTTTATTCTGTCATTTAAATATGAATGATCAACTTTAAACACATTAAAATTAAAAGAAATCAGTTCTTTAAAATGATATATTAAAGTTTAATTTCGTTAATAAATCATATTCAATTGAAAATACTTACTTGCTAGTACCCTGTGATACTGTTGTTATATTATCTTGACTTTCAACTTCTGCTTCACCGATTAAATTCTGTTCAATAAAAAATAGAAATGAAGTAAAATTAGAGTAAACGAACAGTAGAGACAGTAGAAATCGCTAGTACTTTTTAAATTAGGACATTTTTATAATACAGCACTGCATACAAACAAAATTTGTCTTTAATTACTAATATCATGGGGCGATTGTGAAGATTTTTAGGTTATACATTCGAAATCATGAATCGATCAATGAATGTTAGACAACCACCATTCGAAACCTGGAAGAAGCACTGAAAGATGGCCATTTCATCCTGGTATGCAACTAATTAATAATAGTAATCATGTCAAATTATAATCTGTCAATTGTCATAATCAATTTTCCAGTTCATATTATTTAAAGCCTAATCGATAAGGTATATTCACTGATTAAGTTACTTCTGAATTCAATTTTGCTTGAACGATACAAACGCGATCGATGCAATGAAATGTTATAAATTATAATCTTTCTCTTGGATTCATTTTGTGAAGAATGATTTAAACATCTAAACATTATATCGATTATTCAGTGTAGGGATAAGTAACTCGACTAATATGCATACTAATGATTCGCCTTCATGGTAAGATATACTTATTGAAATCAATATGATTAGCATTTCACCTTAGTAGTAAGAAAGTGCTTCTCCTTTAGGTGGGAATTATTATTCCTAGTCAAAAAAAAATTTTCTAGAAAAAAATTTCAAGTTTCAGTTTCTTGTACTTTTATTTGTAGTAGGTTTCTTATTCAATCATAAAAAAATTAGATAGTTAAGTACTGATTGTAACATGTTGACTCAACGATGTATAGACCAGGAATACAAAAATTTTTATTCACATTTCCTATTTGGAAATGAATAATTCTTTGAAAGGCTTATATTTTAACAGTTGATATTATCAAGAAAACTATTGGAAGATAATGAACACTAGACAGATATTCGGTTGGAATTTAAGATTCTCCATCATTATATTCTCGTGCTTTTATGAGTATGACGGCGGATGTCACTTCCCGGCTGCACACAAAGGGGCACATATCCATGAAGTCACTGACAAGCAGATTGAGTCATGTCGGTAGGTGTCGACTAACCGTTTGGGGCCTGACAGATGTTTGTAATCGATGGTTAGAGACTCTGAATGAAATGACTTAAAAACCGTTCGCACTGACGCAGCTGCATACATTCTTTGTATTCTCTCAAATCCTGACCTTCTGAATCACTCAACACCAAATCTTTTTCTTTTTGAGTTTATTTCACTAGATTCTACTTCTTGAATAATATCGTCGAACTCTAATCTCTCTGATTACTGCTAATACTTCTACTACCTCCACTACTATAGGATTAAAAGTGACAATTGAGTCTCAGTGCTAATATGGTATAGTAACTTGAACTTATGTACGTACTTACGAAGTTCTACGTTTCTGTTGAACGATTATATTCTCGTGACTAGGCAAGGAGCTGACATATGATCTGTAAGTTCTACTACTACTACTACTACTACTACTACATAACACGAGTGTAAATAGGTATTTCTTGATAAACATTAAAAGTGTCTGTCATGGCCTCATAGTAAAACGATCGTGAATATTGACAATCATCATCATCATTTCACCAAACAGTCTACACACATTTTCTACATTTACTTTTGAATTGTTCTTATTGATTTCTTTATGAATGTGACAGTGCATTTTTGAACAAAGTTAGGATTATGTCATCCCTTATCGATTCATCGGCAAACTTTATATTCCTTGAAAGCAACGATATACATTTTTTGAAACCATAAATCGATCAATGTTAGACCACCATTAGAAACCTGGAAGAAGCAATGGACGGCCGTTACGTCCTGGTATAGGACTCATCAAGAATGTGGATTGGTCCACGTTAGACATTGACACTGTTAGATAGCGGCTTATTGGTTCAACGGTCCTGAGTTCGAATCCTACGAGGTACAGGAGTCGTGGATACGCACTGCCACTGATGAGTCCCATACCAGGACGAAACGGCCCCGTCCAGTGGCTTTTTCGGTCTAACATAGTGATCGATTCATGGTTTCAAAAATGTGTAACCTAACAATCTTCACAACCCCGTAATGCAACGATATATATGTATATCTGCTCTACATAAGAGAACTAAATTCATAAATCAAACCGTTTTTTTAAAAATTCATAATCTAACTTAAAGTCAGTACACTTTGTAAAGATTTGTTTTTAGTGCGTCGTCAATACACAGTATTATTTTATTTAGAAATACGAGAAGTGAATTATTATTTTATCAAATTAATTATTTCAATTAACAACATTAGTTATGAGGTATGTGTTTTTTTTTCTTACAGCGGAACATCTCTTATTTTTCATTGACTGTTATCATCAAGTGAACAAAGGTAACAAAGTCTCTCTCTCTATCTCTAACTCTCGCTCGCTCGCTCTCTATCTCGCTTGCTTTCATTCTATTCCTAAATTGGTTACGCTCATTTTTTTTTCTAGGTCATTTAAGGTGAAATAGAAGACTAAAAGAGAAAACAAAAAAAAATTATAAATGAAAGTGCACTGAAGAGAAATATAAACTCGCATTTTGTGTGTTAAGAATTTAAAAAAAGTAATCAAGGAACAAGCGTATATAAATTGTTTTTCTTAGTTAAATGTAAGATTTTGAAATCCATAAATAAATGATTCAGTGTTATGTTGAATTAGGCATACTTGAAATAAGTGTTGCATAAGCCAGTGACATGAAACCTAAAGAATCATTTGCTATCATTGTTCAATTATTTCCACTCAAAATGCAAAATGTTGCTTCAAGATTGGGTTGCATCGGCACCTGAACTAGTGATAGGGAGTGAAGTAGTTGAGCGTGTAGACCGTTTCACTGATCTTGGGAGTCTCATCAGTGCTGATGGCCTGGTGACTGACGAATATCTGAGATCGGATACAGAAGGCTCGATTGGCTTTTGCCTACCTGCGTCATTTATGGCGTACGCGAGATATCCGTTTTTGCTGACTAAAGGACGAGTGTACTGTGCAGTGGTTCGCTCTGTCCTACTTTATGGCTGTGAAACATGGCCAGTGAGAATAGATATTTGCAGGTTACTTGTTTTCGATTATAGGTGTCTCCGAAGCATTGCTCGTATATGCTGGGACAACCGATGTGAGCAATGCTGTTGTTAGGAAACGGGTACTAGGTAAAGATGGCAGGTCAGTAGATGAAGTAATAAAACTTCATCAGTTGAGGTGGTTGGCACTTGTTTTGCGTATGCCTAACCATCGACTGCCTCAACGAGCTATGTTTTGTAGTGTAGGAATTGGTTGGAAGAAAGCTAGGGGCGGCCAGACCAAAATATGGCACAAATCCATGAAGTCACTGACAAGTGGACTGAGTCATGTTGGTAGGTGTCGACTACCTGGTTGGGGTCAGCGAGATGATAGTAATCGATGGTTAGAGACCTTGAATGACATGGCTCAAAATCGTTTGCAATGGCGCAGGTGCACTCATACATTTTGTTCCCTCAAATCCTAATCTTTTCAATTCTTCATCACTTTATCTTTATCTTCTCAAGTTCATTTCACTAGATTCTACTTCTTGAATAATATCTTCTAATCGTAACCTCTCCGACTACTACTAATAACTTTATTAACTCTACTACTATGGGATTTGAATTGACAATAACATGTCTGTGCTTATGTGGTATGGTAACCTGTAATGATGTACGTACGTACGAAGTTCCACGTTGCTAATGATTGATTGATATAGTATTTACTAAAAATTACAGTTTACTTTTATCTATAACGTAAGTATGAGCAGAGATCAAATTTATCGTACATTCAGTCAGTCAGTCAATTACAACGTAGAACTTCATACGTATATACATCAGTTCAGGTTGCCATACCGTATCAGCATCGAAACGCCACTGTCAAAGAATTACTGGTAATAGACAATATTAGGGATTGAAGATATTATTCAAGAAGTATAGCTGAGTGAGATAGAAAGAGAAAGATAAAGGTGATGAGGAATTCAGGAGGTTAGCATTTTTTAAAGAACATAATTTCATTGAACTTACTTTTTTGTCAATGATAGCTGATCTTCGACCACGTCTACTAGCTAAATCAATTTGTTCATTATCTTGTCCACTTTGATTACTTGTTGATAATTCACTGATGTTTTCATTTGTTGTAGTAGTTGTTGTCGGCAATGTTGCAGTTGTGACTGTTTTAGTTGACATTGATTCTATTTCTGTTCCTGACGATGAAGGTGCTGTATCCAGTTCTAAACTTTGCCAACTTTCATGTCGTTGTAAATTCTTAAAGAAAAAACAATAACGAGGATAATAGTAATAATAAAATGATTTATAAAAATTAATGAAAATAATATTGTTAGAAATAAAATTAAAAGATTTTTTGGGGTATATTTTTCTAAACCAGTGTAGCAGCAGGGAAAAACAAGATTCTCCGATACAACAGAACCTGCACCAATCAGATCACACTTGACAGAGTAGTTTTGAAGGATGTAGAAACCTCAACAGATCTGGGCGGCATCATTGATGCGTAAGGCGGAACTAATGTAGATGTGAAGAAGCGGATTGGCAATGCAGGAGCAGCATTTCTACAACTGAAGAACATCTGAAATTCAAAACAACTAACGACAAACACCAAAATCAAAATCTCTAATGCAAACGTCAGGATAGTTCTACTGTATGTAGCGTAAACGAGAGAACCACGAAGGCCACCATCTGCGAGATACAAGTTTTTATTAACAGTTTTCTACACTAAATACTTCGAATCCGCTGACCAGATTCGATCAGTAAAAACTTACTATGGGATAGAACAAATGAGATTACAGCAGATGAATAAATCAGAAAGAAGCTCTAGAAGTGGATAGAATAAACATTCCAGAAACCACACAACTGCATCATGAAGCAAGCCCTTATTTGGAGATTAGTGAAAGATCAAAGAACACATTAGGCCAAGAATTGGAAGCTGATATGAAAAGAATGAACAACAGTTGAATAGTACTGGAAAAGAAGTCCCAGGACAGAGAAAGTTGCAGAATGTTGCTGTTAATATTTTTAATTTAATTTACTCCACTCTTAGTTGGTATGTAAAATTTATCTGCTCATTGTCTTGGTATAGATATTATGTCACAATGTTTTACAGAACAGATGGAATGTAGCTAGCAATAGGCGTATATTTCGTTCGGATTGTGACTGTCCAAATGAATGTACCTGTCTATTCAAATTGGTTTTCACCTTGGGACATGAACCTGATATTCCTCAAGTAGTCAAACACTTTTACACTGAGTACTTATAATCACTGAAGTTTGCAGCCAACATAAGTTTTCGTACTCAATTCACAAGATGGTTTGAATTACTCGATTGTTAATAACCCTAAAGTCCCTCAAAACTACAATTTAAAGTAATAGTCAGTTGAACTTTACAAATCAAAAAAGAAATATGATATAACAATGATACTGAAAGGTTGTTGCCGTACAAGTCAATTCCACAGAAATTCAAAATCATCAGACTGTGTTTCATACTAGGTAGTCTATGATCATGCTGCTCACCATGAGGACTTCACAGTTCACATATTGTTTCCTAGAATTGCTGAGAAGTTATAATCTACGACTAAATGGCTGTCTAATAATTTCTACTTTCAATTATTCTTCAGATATTATTGTTCTGTGACATAGTGTTTATTAATAAAAATTATTGTATACTATAATTGGATGCATGGATTTTTCGTGAGACAACAAAGTGGTCACAATCTCTAAAACTGTAATCAATAACTGTTCATTTTCAGGTAGGGCTTTGCAGGTTTGTGTTTTTACACATTTGAAATCATCAATCAGTCATTGTTAGACCACCATTAGAAACCTGGAAGCACTGAGACGGCCGTTTCGTCCTGGTATGGGACTCATCAGTGGCAGTGCGCATCTACGACTCCTGTTCAATTATATACAATATATAATCATTTATTGATTAGGCAAATGTTTTTATAACTAAACCAAATAAAAATTCAAATATCAATTCTATCTCAATGAATATCAAATCGAATAATGTTTAAAAAAGCAATTATCAGAACAAAAGAAAGGAAGTATTATTGATCATGTGACTTAGAGTGTAATACGTTTCTTTTTTGTTGAAAATAGGTCATTTCATAGTAGACTACGATTTGAACAACATAGTACACCTTATAATAGAAAAAGTGTTACTTTTTGTGAATTTGACAGAATTTTATTTGTTCGTTTTAGAGTAATTGTACATTTAAACACGTTGAGAATGCATTATTTTTTAATAGTACTGTGTACAGCAAAAAAGTCATATAACTGTAAATGACAAAAGATTTAGTCACTAAAAGATTATTATTGTTAATTTTCCCTTTGAAGATTAACAAAACCAAATATTATTGACGTTGATTTATGTTAAATATTCCCAAAAATGTCTTCATTTGTGTAGGAAACCAAACCTCTTTTAATACTATTCACTGACATCGTTTTATTTCACTAAAGAGTGATTGTTGTGGTGTTTTGTTCTTTGAGCTGGATCTTTCGGTTGTGGAGATTTCGTTTTCATTCCAAACAATATCATCAGCACAAACTTCACAACCGGAACATCCAGCTCAGAGAACGGAACATCACAACAATCATCCAACTGAGCTACATATTTTCTCTATCACCTCACTAAGGAATGAAACACAGGAAAAATTTGAGACTCATGTAACGCATTCGGAACTCCTAGTTTTGTTTATGAGTTTGTCTTAAACTGACGCTGTCTATTTATTACTCTATTGCATGTAAATGCATCATTCTATGTGCTTACTGAGTTGTCAGTTCATCATTCTCTCTGGTTCTTGCGTCTTCCAGATAATCTCTCTCGCAGCTCATCACACAACTCCTCCCACTACATAAGGTACCTCCGGGCGAAACGCTAACCAACCAAAGGCTGAAGTTATACCTATAAATTTTTATTTGTTTTACTCAGAAACTACAACTCAAATATTGAATTTAAAGCAAGTGATTGCGTCACAAAGAACTTTGGTCAGTTACATATATATATATGTAATATCATTTTGTGACAGATCAATTTTCGACTGTTTAGTTGTATCTTTGACTATTTGTGATAAACATTTCTAGGAAACTCATGTTCTTTTTCTGTCAAAGATAACAAAATTATACAATACTTTGGTTTCAAAATTATCAGTATGAAGTCTGTCAACTGACAAAATTCCAATCAACAATCAATAACTAACTAGTCTCGTTCTAGAATAAAACAGCTTTATAGTATTTCCTTGCTTTCAATAGTTATTTAATTGAGATCAGACTATGATAAAAACTGTAAAATTATTAAACAGTTATTACTATTAAGAGGAACATGGTATTACTATATACTTATTAACTGTTTGTCAATTATATTACGTTGTATATAGTCAATCCAGCCGACAATTTAAACTGAACTGAGTACTGATTTTCGAAAGAAGAGATTATGTCGATACCAGAGTTCAATAAAATAAGCGGTTGAAGTCATTTAAATATTTTTTTTCAAATTATTTACATTGAAAATTGTACAACAAAGATGTAGTTGAATATGATGTTGATATTATGCAGCTTTTACTTAATTTAAACAATTCTAATTACAACTTCATTTAAAATAAAAATTATGTTAAATGGTGATGATTTTATCAATTGATTTTGAACAATTTCATTGACATTGTAGTCAGAAAACAAGTAGATTTTTGTCGGATTGATATTTGAAAGGTGAAGAAATTTAAGAATAAAATCAATTGAAGATGACGTATAGCTGTAAAGCTAATCTTCTCCATTAATGCTAATAATTCTACTATCTCTACCACTATGAGATTTGAACTGACAGTTGCGTCTCTGTACTGATGTGGTATGGCAACCTGAACTGATCTACTTACGTACGAAGTTCTGTGTTGTATCTGTCTGTCTATAGCTGTAAAGAATGCATTTCCTAATGCTTAACTCTATACAATGTAATATTTAATACCACAAACGAAGGTAAACCAATACTCGTCATATATCAACATTGATACGATACTTTAATTCATATGAAATTGTGATATTGGGTACATAAGGAGGGCAGGTTGATAGATATCTACACGTGTTATTGAATGCATTTCAAAGATCAGACACCATAGAAAATAATAGGTTTATCGCAAGAAAAGAATCTCTTTTCTCCATGTTTTTTTGTTCACAATCTAGTTAGTTCTTCTGTTCACAAGTGTTTTGTTCTCTATATATTGTAAAGTGAAAATAGTTATGAAATATTCTAGAACTGTTAATTCAGTCATTGATCAACACCCATGGGAAAAATATACTTTGTTTTTCACTGCATGTTTACATTGTGTACAAGTAATTATTGATCATTGTACTAATTATTTTCACTGAAGTGAAAACGACAAATTTCAATGATTTCATCATAATTTGCAATCAAGTCACTTTTGTTTTAATTAAACTTGAGAAAGTAATCAATTATGCGGAACAAAAAACCATTATATGATGTAATTTCCTAATGTGGTATAACCACTGTTTATTGCACAGTAATCTACCATAAACTATAAAACTGTCTAAAAGTAAACACAATCTCATCGATGAATTTCAGCGTTAATATTATTGAACTAAACTCCACCTGGAGCCCTACTGAATTATTGCCGGTTGCAAGACCGGATAAAGCAGGAGGAGGGTTGGGCCTTGTGGTTTGCAACTCTATCCCATAGAGAAAACCGACATGCTAGAAAAAACACAAGTGAAATCATCAATCAATCATTGTTAGTACACCATTAGAAACGTGGAAGCACTGGATGGCCTTTTCGTTCTGGTATGGAACTCATCAGTGACAGTTCGCATCCACGACTGCTGCACAACGCAGGATTTGAACCCAGGACCTTCGGTATTGTGCGCAAACGCCTAACCTCTGGACCACTGAGCTGGCCGGCATCCAACGGTGTTTATGCCTTACTCTGATTGATCTAGGGATTTTGCCCAACCTCACTCATTTGTCTTTGGTAGTAGTTACTGCCTACACCCGACGAGGTTGAACTCCACTGGTCACGTCTTCTCACTAGATCTCCGAGAATTTCCTCATGAAGCTGATCACTAGTGAGCATGGTTACGATATTTTGGGGCAGAGTTTTGGAGATTTGTGTTTTTACACATTTGAAATCATCAATCAATCCCTAGATCAATCAGAGTTAGGCATTAACACCGCTGGATGTTGGCCCAGTGGTCCGGTAATTAGGCTTTCACGCAGAATAACGAAGGTCCTGGGTCCGAATCCTGCTAGGT